TCCTTAAATCCTCTATTCTACTCTAAATTGACCGATCATATAAAGGACTTTCGGCATTAAGCTAATAATAGTAAGACAAAACAATGCCCTGTTCTAGAAACACATTTACTCGAAAACTGTAACATCTATAAAATATTAGAAACAACGCTTACTTGTTAAACTCATTATACATCGAAACTAATAATTCAAAAACTAATCAATTTCAGTTGCAATTTGTTGGAATATTTAACAGTGGTTTTATTTCGAAAATACAAATTTCATTTCAACAACTGCACTGTAGTTTCTATTACATAGAAAATAGGTTCAACAATTTTTCGGTGTGATAATGATTACAAACCAGTTTTCAACGCAGTTAGGGTTTTTTAAAATTATGTTTGTTGCATAATTCAGTTGTGCTTTTAGTTTTAAAATTTATATTTCGGCAAACACCTTTAACGTCGTTTCTAATGAATATTTATAATAGTTGAAAATTTATTTAACCAAATTGTTGCGAAAAGCATTTATAGAACAATGTGTTGCCGTTTTATCGGTATTTACGGATTTAGGCAAAGGCTTTAAAACGGTGCCAAAAGATGTTTGGGTGAATTCGTGCAGCAGGCAGTCGGGACTTATCAGTATGAGACTTAAATAAAATGTATATCGAAATTGGAATAATTTAAGGCAATAAGACCAAATAGAATGTCAGGGTTGGTGGGAAATCGTAAAGAAGCGGTTGCAAGAGCTATCAAAGTGCATGCGTGAAACAATATATTTTCGAAGTTATATCAAATCGGGAATATTAAAATAGAATCGTTGTATCTTATGGTTTATTGTTATTGCTATTTGAAGTCATATGCCTTCCACTCTTGTTATAAAACTGCTTTCAGTAATTAAACTCTTGTAATAAATTACTACTTTTGCAGCGAGCGACGCCAATGGTCATTACCTGTGAAAGTATGACGTTCGCTTCTCTCTACGTCCCGCAGATTATAAGAGTAAAGCATCTAGCTTTTCAGAAAACCGTTCAAAATGAGAGTTGCGTATATAAAAATGACTTTTAAAACGTCTTCGAACAAATTCAATGGATTTGTTTAGTACCATTTGGGTTTAATTACTCGGTTTGATTACAAAATGAGGGATCAACATGAGTGATTGAAGGTCGGCCGTGTCAAATCTGTAGGTATGTTTAGATAATGAAGTCATTAAGAATGATTATAGGGTAGCCCAATTACTGATTCTAAATGGTCACAATCGGGCCTAATTGCTACAAATTTCCATTCCCGCATGGACCAGAAATTTTTAGACACGTTCTAATAAAGCTAAAGCATCAGTAAGTTTGTATGTTGTCTTGGTAGCTATTTAACTGTAGACAGAGATCGTTGGTGGAATGCGATAAACATTGCTACTGTCAGCAACAAGGGAGGAAGAGACCCTATTAAATACCGTTCTGCACTTACATTACTTCAGCTCACCAATAAATAAACAGGCCACGTGATAAATGAGCCTTTCTAATGCCGTTTAAATTACAGACTATTATTTATTATATAAGCATTTGTTTGGCAACGTGAGCTCTTTACTTAACTTTTTATTTCGCTAAAATTTAATTAATTGGATCGGTCCTAGTCTGACTAAATTAATATTAATTACTTCTCTCGAACTACCCGTTTATTAACTGAATTCCAATTGCCACAACGCAAAATACCTCTCTCTAAATGATAGTTCTTGTTAAAATTTATTCCAGAATTAATTTTAAACAAACAAATTGTCCTTAATTTGCTGCTATTTTTTATGTGAAAAATAGCATTCCCCTATTCACAATTGGAGCGTAAACGTGTAAATAAGTTGTTGCTATTTGTTTGATTATGTGGCTTTAGTAAATTATCGCTTTTTTAGCCAAACATTTCTAACACGCGCAGTAAATTTTCCCGGCGCCTCCACCATAATTTCTTTCGTGCTCGTTTCACTTTTTTTACTGCAATAAATAACACATTACTCGCTAAAAACGCAAAAACACAAGATGGCTGTATCGAATATCACACTTAGAAAATTGAAAATCTGGGTTAATCCAATTACAACCAACACCGTGCCCAAACTATATAATACTAATAAAAATTGAATGCCACTTTGCATCTTAATGATGAGCACTGCGAGGTATAAACCGTTTTAATTAAAAGTGTAAAATTTTGTTTAGTTGAAGCCAACAAATATAGCTACTCTTCCGGTTCAATGTTCAGACTTTTCCCAAACTCCGTACAAAAGTAAAATTAACTTTACGCAAATAAGCTTTTAAATTCAAAGTTGAGATTTTGAAACCTTCTCAGAATTGTAAAATTGCATGTATGGTATAACAGAGAGCTTAGGTATTTCATGAATTATATATGTCAGAATGCAGCCTAGAACTGCCAATATTTTATAACAAGCACGTTCTCCTTTATTGGCTTCACAAAACTATTTATATAAATTTAAATAAATATCGAAAATAATATTTGTACCAACTTTAGTTCAGCCAATTTTAGAAAAAATCACATCAAATCATAAATTATGCATACGGTTTTCCATCGTGAAACAAGTTATTTTGGCGATACACTTTAAAAGTGCAGTCGTATCGATTGCAACAATTTTGCATCTAAGTACTGTGTTTTCATAAAATTTTTGATCGCAAACACTGGCTTACATTTATTTTTTTGACATTTAGTACTCATAGTAAAATAAAAAAAAAATACAATAAACTATAAAACGGGGAAGAATACTGAATGTATGTAAAAGCCGCCACCGTTCTTAATTGTGTTACACACATTTACATAATCCATAAAGTAAAATTGCCAAATTGAGTTATCAAAATCGAATAAAATGAAAGACATTTTAATATAAAAATGTCCTTTATTTCAAAAAGTGATTACAAATTAAATTAGTTTGTTTGTTGTAGAAAGCATATAATTGACTGAAAAGTTCAGAAGGATTTTTCTAGAAGAAGCTTTCCACATGTTGCTGTTAAATGATGATTCAACCAAAAAGTTAAAGTTTGATTTAAAACTAATTTCAAATGTTTGTTCGTATTGATTTTCCAAAAAATGTGTTTATTGCTTTCCAAAATGAAAATCTGTTTATGTCTATTTATTTAATGCTAACGATGATCTTTAATATGTTTTTTCATAATTATTGAGTTAAGGTATAAAAATTTTACCGATAAAAGCCACAAATAACGTTAAACATTATTACATTTCTTTGTTTCTTTTACTAATAGCCTGTAGCAAAAAGCATGTAAAATTATTTTTTCAACAAAAATAAATAGGGTCAAAGTGCAAAATTTAAACCGCCATAATTTCGAAATTCGTATAGATAGATTTTTTTTTAATTTTCCTATGTTCCTGATATCTTATTTTACTTGAGATATTTCTCTGGGACGTGAGTTCTGAAAGACCCTGTAAATACAAAATATTTCAAGGTGTTTTATGATAAAAATATATCAGCTTTATAACTAGAAAAATGTAAAGGAGTCTCTTGAGTATCCCTCTGAACATTATATGAAGCCGGTACTTGATAGAGTTGGCTTTCAATAGTCTTATAAAGCTTTGATTCCTTCTAACTTGATGATTTTTGCAGAGAATTATATTGGTAGCCTTAATACATATTCCATCAATATTATTTTATTGCTAAAAGTTTTTAAACATGGCGTATTTTATTGAATACATTTTGTCTTGTTAAGCGGTGTGTCGCTCTAAATTAACTTGAGTAAATTTATTGTTAATATAAAATTACGCTGCTCTGAAGACAGCGTCGTTTGCAGTTAGTGTCGTTTTGTGGCATTCGTGTCCCATAGAAGCGCTGGTTGAAATGAATGTAAATTGTTCAGAAGAAAGTAAGTGCTGTTGAGGGAAAACTATTAAACCATACAGATAAAAACAAGATGCACGATTTAAATCAAATAGTGACGAAGCGTTAGAGCTTCGGATAAGTCGCTCACCTTTAACATTTAATCGACTTTCTACGATTTCCGTATACAGATTGAGTGTTGGGGAGCAGCGTCCTGTTCTATTAAGTTTCCAGTAGCGACCGTTAAGTAAACCCATCGGAAAAGGGAAGCATCTGATTTTTTACTCAACTCAGGCATAATTTTACTTGCTTCCTGCAAATTGATCCCTGCTATATTCCCATTCCGCTCCAAATAGATATTTTAATGTACACTGTTCCACCAAGTACTTCCGACAGATACTAATTGATAATTATTACCAACTTTACAATTAATTCATATTCAAATTTTAACAAATTTTAACTTAAATTATGCGTAATCACGCTTCTGTACTGCGTCTATAGCAACACCACTAAAGAACCCAAACGAATGTTTTAATAGACTCGCAAAACTCACTTTCTCAAACTACTGTTCGTTTTATTTAAGTTTATACAAAACTTTAAAATTACGGCGTATCTAGCGTCGATAATATTTTTAATAATTACGTTGTTTAACTAATGAATAAGCACATTTTGTTTTTCTTTGTGAAAACTTTAAATATATTTATGAAATCTTTCAGACCTCTAAAAGATTAAATCAGAATTATCATCATTAAATTCAGCTAAACTAATAATAGAAAACTGATATGTCCCAAAGTTTTGTATTACACAGTGCAAAATTTATTGAAATGATAAACAAGTTTGAAGTTGAATGTAAGCAACACTTTTATTTTCTCCTCGGCGTATTTAAAGACAGTCGTCAAATGTGTACAAATTATCTTGTAACTAAGGTTCATCGTATATTTACTGTATTGATTTCACTGACTATTTCAGTAAATTCAAATGGAAATGAACAATTCATTCCTAATTTCCGAAGGAGTCCGATGTAATGTCAAATGAGAGAGTTTCTAAAAATAACTTTTAAGTTAAAATGGATAAATATAGAAATTTTTACAGCTAACCTATGCATAATGTTTTAAAAAATTTCCGATTTTCACAATAAAGGCTTGTGCTTTTTATAAAAGTATAGAAAGCTTTGATACTAATTTTTAACTGAATGAAATTTGTTCCAGGTCTGCGAATGAATGACGCTTTGAGGAATTTAGCAGGGAATGATCGTGCAGCAACTGCTGTTCTCGCTCCTGCTATACCCTGCAGGGAGCGCTTCGATAGATTTAGGTCCAGTGAGTGTTCCAGGAGACATTATCCTCGGTGGTCTCTTTCCAGTCCACAAGAAGGGCGAAAGGACTGCTTGCAGTCAACAGATCTACCATCGAGGCGTACAAAGACTCGAAGCAATGATGTTCGCAATCGACCGCATCAACAGCAATCCTCGTATTCTCCCAAACATCACCTTAGGTGTCCATATCTTAGATACCTGTTCGAGAGATACTTACGCTCTAAATCAGAGCCTTCAGTTTGTCAGAGCTTCAGTCAACAACATTGACACTTCCGCCTTAGAATGTGTCGATCACTCCATACCTAGGCCTAGAAACAACTACACAGGACCGGTCTTTGGCGTCGTGGGGGGATCCTACAGCTCAGTTTCTCTCCAAGTTGCCAACTTACTAGGTAATTCTTGACAACAACATTTCAAAAATAATTGGATAATAAACTCCAACTTGATGTTTTGCTAGGTCTTTTTCATATTCCTCAAATATCGCCAGCGTCGACGGCAAAAGCGTTAAGTGACAAAACCCGATTCGAATATTTTGCAAGGACGGTTCCTCCGGACACTTTTCAATCTAGTGCATTAGTGGACATTGTTAAAAGTGTGAATTGGAGTTACGTATCAACCATATACTCCGAAGGATCTTACGGAGAGTATGGTATAGAGGTATTTCATAGAGAAGCTCAAGAGAGAAACGTTTGTATTGCCACCGCTGAAAAAGTGCCAAGTACTGCAGATGATCACGCTTTCGATAACATTATTATAAAGTTGAAAAAGAAAGTCAACGCAAGAGGAGTTGTACTCTTTACACGAGCCGAAGATGCGAGGTGAGTCATATTTTCGTAAACTTGAATTAATGGAGAAATGGTTTCAATTGATTGCAATTTATAAATTTTAAAAATGGGGTAGAGGTAGTCTTGTGGTGCAGATTCGTATATACTCAGCTGTGAATTTGCTTTGGATGGCGGTGTACCAAAGATATCGAGTAAGATTTATTAGCTGGCAAACTGTCATTATCACAGGAGGATTCTACAAGCTGCGAAGCGTCTGAATGCTAGTCATACATTCTACTGGGTAGCAAGCGATGGATGGGGTAAACAACAGAAGTTAGTAGAAGGTTTAGAAGACGTAGCTGAAGGAGCTATTACCGTTGAGCTACAATCTGACAACATTCCGGGCTTTGATGAATACATGATGTCACTTACACCAGAAACTAACCTCCGTAATCCCTGGTTTGAGCAATATTGGGAAGATACGTTTGATTGCATACTTGAAAAAAATGTTCCACTCATCACACATACCAACTTCAATGTTTGCAAGCCCGAACTGCGGCTTTCACAGAAAGTTGGGTAAGTTTCGAGAATTTTTACCTAATCAATACCGATGTGACCTACCCTCCAAATACGTAAATCAAAATTTACTAATAATATGCATTAGTTTTGACCGAAACGTGAATGCAATTTAAGCTGATGAAAGCTGCAATTTCTCCACTATACTTATTAAAGATTACTGTTAAAACATTCGTCGAGACTTAAGACTTGCTGGAAATTTATATTCCGCACAATATTGTACCGTTTCATATTTCATACGGTTTTTAATTAGATTCAGCTGAGTCGCTTTTAAACTAATTTGTTAACCGGAAAACTGCTATTATCGATTTCCACAACTACTGTATCTAATTTTGCCTAATGTTTTTTCATAAACGATTTATGCACATACTGTTATCGTATTATGTTTTTATAATTATTTACATTTGTAAAGTTAAACATAAATATTTTTTCTTTGATTTGTATATAAATGTAACAAAAATTTTGCGTTTACAAACATTAATCATCTTTTTTCAGTAAGTATTTAAGTACGAATTATTCTAAAAACGTAAAAAAAACAAATCTCGGGTATCATCACAAATTAAATCACGAGAATGTATAAATAACGAAATCAAACTGAAAACGTTGGATAATATTGTAGTCGTGCTCGTTTCCAACGACTTCAAGAACAATCTTATTTCTTAAGATTTCAAACTTAAAAGTATAAGTAATTTCCACCAAATTAATTCTGATAAAACCAAATCAGAAAGATAATTAATATTAGTATTAAAAGATCAAAAATTTCACTTTCTAAATTCTGTTCATATTTTTAAGTCGGATTAATATAATAAACTTCTAAATCACGTGAATCCACTTGTGCCTCGAAATTCCGATAGTAAATGTACACTTCGTTGGCACAGGTGTAGTTGAGTATACCCACGTGACGACAGTGGATAAAACGCAAAGAACATTTCAATAATAAAGCTCTAATCCTCCAACTCCAACGTGAAATCTAATCTAATTTTTGTTAGGACGTCGACTTATCACTGTTTTGATTTCAAATAGATTTGAAATTCATGTGTAGTAATAATGATATGTACGTATCTTGAATTTCCACGTCATTGGAAAAATTATATATTTAAATAGAAGATTTATGTGAATAATAAAATACGTTTTTTGTAAAAAGCACAAAACAGTAAAAATGACAAACGATGAGCTAAGGCTGTACGGTTTTCGTCGAAGATAAAGTCGTGAGATTAGAAGAAAACCAATTTCACATAAACTTGCTTTGATACGTCTCTAAAAACTGAAGGACAAATTTTTGAATTTAAGATATGAACAAGAAAGTAAAGTGCAGTTTGTGGTGGATGCAGTCTACGCGTTCGCTTTAGCACTTCATAATCTTTATCGTGACTTGTGCAAGGACTACAGGAAGTCCGGAGTGTGCCCCGCGATGACCCAATACGACGGTGGAGATTTCTATAAAAAGTATCTACTTAACGTCTCCTTCACCGGTGAGTTATACTTTAAGATATTGAAATATTGCCTAAAAGGCTGCAAGTTTTCTTCCTTCCAATTCTTTACTAATAATATTTACATTTTATCTTGATGTTAACTTATATTGTAAGTTTCCATTTGCTGACTGATGTAAACAATGCACGTGCATTCAAAACACGTTAGATTCCCTCATTTGAAATTATTTTTAGATCTCGCTGGAAGTCCTGTAAAATTCGACCATCGTGGCGACGGACTAGCCCGTTACGATATCCTCAACTACCAAAGACTAATAAACGCTTCAGGATACCACTACCGAGTAAGTAAAGCGCATTTTTCAAACCCTAGACTCGTTCGTGACTAATTTCACTTTGACTAATTTTATAGTGCTCTACCACTTAAACTCAATTTACACCCGCAATTTAGCATTTATAGAGAAGCAACAATTACTTGCCTAACTTCTACAAGTTATACTAACGCGTGTTTTAAATAATTACTTCTACTAAGCAGTTTATAGAAACTTTGCCATCCAATTATGGTCATTGGCCCATAAGATATTTCATTTTTGGATGAATATGAAAGGTTAACGCATGTTTGGGCAAATAAAGCATGCTGTAATCGAAAGTTAGAACTTTAACCGTTAATTAAGCTTGCAATTTTATTGAAAACTATTAAGGCACTAACTTCTTCATTAAGCTAACCAACGTTACAAAAGTTACTTCACGCAAGAATAAGCGAATGGCAACAAAATTTAAATTATGAATTATAAAACAAAATCAAGAAAATGATATTTCTTGTAACTTGAATAAGTAAAAACTGTGTTTCAAGCAACACAGTTCTTGTGAGGTATGAATCGAGGCGACGCCAGTTTACATATTTTTATCGATTCCATTTCGCTGTCGTCATGTATTTTATGGTAATCTTTTGTTTTCCTCACATGAATAACAAATTAGACGTTTGAATATTGCACTTCCGAATATTCGATATGAATAAAATATTGCCAGAATCATTTTTGATTTTGTACTATTTGTGAAGTAAAATAGTTTATTTTAGGTGGTTTGCGGTCGTTTGGTTGATTTGATTTTATGAAATTCTATCACGCTGTACTTTTCCAGGTAGTTGGAAAGTGGTTTAACTCACTTGAATTAAATTTAGACCACCTAGTTTGGAACAACAACCAAACTGTTCCTCCAACATCGGCCTGCTCTCTCCCTTGTGAGCCCGGAATGATAAAAAAACAACAAGTAAGTAATAATTTGCGGTATTAATAGGTCCAAAACAGGTCGACTTTTTCGAAAGTTGAGATTGCTGATTGGGGAATTTCTTAGATCGGAACGATTTAATATAATCGTGTTATCGATTCAATGATTTAGTGGGCAATTTCCAGCAGGCGTTGCACGTCATTGTGCAAAATCCACATCGTTTCTTATCTTTTCGTATGCTAAGTGTGATGGAAACAAGCATGTGTTTCTCATTTGAATCGGCATTTTTGCGCCTTGATGAAATTTTTTATTTCAAATATCCAAAAGTTTGCAAGCGGTGTCGTGAAATAGGCAAGGTGTGTATTATTCGTCTTATCCGCCAATATCTGCTTGAGAACCGTTCAATCGCACGAAATCTCTTCACTTTCCGATTTGCATATGCCTAAGATGTAATTGGAATTGGTAAAAGTTTATTTTCGACGGAAAATTTCCAATACATGCTTCACTGAAATTCTATGAAATGGAATTTGAGAGGCTTTCATTTGTTTCTTTGCTTTTATATTTGTTATCTGACTGTTAAATCGCTCAAAGCAAGTCAAAAAATTTCATTTTGTGTCGGGTCCTATCAACTGCCACAAGTGCACGATTTTTTACCTCCCCAAATTGCCAAAAAACATTTTTTTTCAAACTAGCGGTCTCTCTACAATACAGGCAAAAGCACGATAAATCAAAACACTGTGTGTATCTTTGTCCATCTATCATCTCTTGAGATTTAAGTTCGCATAGAACACAATGTTGGTCGTGTTCCCTGATGAGCAAGATGTGGCATGAGCGAATTTCAGACTCAATCTTGCATTATTCAAGCCATTTCTCCAAGCTCCAAAGTATGGTTTCTTATGCACTATGCAAGACTTGGACCACATTTTTTATTGATACAATAATTGAGGGACGCCGCTTCAACAAGCGCAACCAACGACCCGGAAAAATAAAGTTTCTAAAAGAAACTCTTAAAATTCATATCTTCTAATCTCAGCATTTTTCAACCGAAATCATGACTATGTATAACCAACAAAATAATGTTTTATTAAACTTTATTTTAATGTAGTCAAAAAATTTAATAAAAGTGGTTTCACAGAAAAAAATTAAAAAAAAAATGTGCAGCGTCATATTTATTACGGAAAGCTGCAAAATAATTAAACTTGAAAAAAGATGTAAAAGGAAAAGTGTAGAGAATCATCTGGCGACAAAATGCCTGCGACAGCAACTTTTCTGCTCTGAAAACAAATATCTTGATTTCTTAAAAGTGAACCAAGTTACTAATTATCGATTTAATTTTATTGCCATTTTTGCATTTGAGAGATGTTTAATAAAATAAACGATAATTGACTCAAGAATTACACTTTTTAAATGCCAAAAATATAGAATATACAATATTAAAATATTTGCAATAATCTCGCCCCGCGTGTGAATTTTTGGGAAATTTGCTGTTGAATCCCTCATTTGGCATGCAAACCACGTTCCCTGTCGAATCAAAGTTTGGCGATAGGGGTTAACCATGTGATTGTGTATTGTTCCAGGGCGACACATGTTGTTGGATATGCGACAAATGTGAAGAGTACGAATACGTGTTCAACGAATTCACATGTAAGGATTGCGGTCCTGGCTATTGGCCTTACGAGGATAAATTGTCCTGCTACGCGTTGGAACTCCAATACATGCGCTGGGATTCCCCTTACGCACTCGTTCCGGCCGCTTTTTCCTGCTTAGGAATATTAGTAACGCTGATGATAATAGCCCTCTTCGTAAAACATAACGACACGCCGTTAGTGCGCGCTTCTGGACGTGAATTAAGCTATATGTTATTGTTTGGCATATTATTGTGCTATTTGAACACTTTTGCGCTCCTGGCGAGGCCCACCACCGAGACCTGCATCACCCAAAGGTTCGGGGTGGGGGTCGGATTTTCCATAATATACGGGGCGCTTCTTACAAAGACTAATCGAATCTCGAGGATATTTGATTCAGCATCTAAATCTGCTCAAAGGCCCAGTTATATTAGCCCCAAGTCGCAGGTAATCATCACCTGTACTCTTATAGCCGTGCAAATTCTACTCACCCTCGTTTGGATGATCGTCGAACCACCCGGCACCAGGTTCTACTACCCCCACAGAAGTCAGGTAGGCGTTAACACTTAATTGTTTCAACACTTTTGATCGCGTAAAATTTACATCATTGTTCAACTTTCAGACTTGTTAAATTTTAATAAAATAATTTCCTTCCATAATATTCTTTAGCCATTATTATGTGAAAAATGGAAAAACGTAAAGTAGGCAATCACTAATTAAAAAAGCATGCAAATTCTGGGCCAATTCCGGTAAGGAGCTTATATACGATTTACAATTTATTATCATTTGAAGCCAAATTTAGCGCTTGAAACATAGAATTATAATCTCGTGCTTGAAGGCTTTTAATTAAAATTAGAATCTTCTCTGTTCCGTTTTTTATATCTCACCGACTAGACCTGATGCAGTTTAAGCAATTTAATTTAACTGTCTTAGTTCAATGCTGATCCCCGTGGATCGCTGTTTCAAATATAATTAAGGTAACGATTAAAAATTTACTTTCGTTTGACCGATATTCAATTTTCTTTAAAAACAGTAAACTTCGAATTTGAAGCTAAATCATCTACGAGTAACAAAACTCGAGAAGCACAACAAGAAAATTAAATTAAATATGCAAAGTGAATTCAGTTTTTACTTCAAACCACGCTTTTATAATCTTGGATGAATGTGGTGTGAAGTGTTTGGTATTTGATGGGTTGATTCCGGGAGTTTATGGTTTAAGATACGCCAGAAAGTTTTTCATTGAAGAATTAAATACAAGCAATTAGCTTTCTTTACTTTTTTACTTAGAGAAACTTGAGTGCAAGTTTAAAGCAAACGCGAAAATATTTTTTTTTGTTTTTGATTTATTTTAGATGAATGCAAACCGATTTATTTTTATACAACAGGTCCAATACTTAGTCAACTTTTCTTTTATCATCTAAAATCGTTCAAAAGTGAATAAAAAGTACAGTCAAATAACTTCGAATATGAACAACTCAGTGGGAATTCTGCAAAATCCATCAAAATCTCTTTAAAAATATGCGTCTGAAAAGTAAATCTAAGTTTCAATCTCTTTCCAGGTCATTCTAAAATGTAAAATTCAAGACATGTCGTTTTTATTCTCTCAACTCTACAATATGGTCCTAATTACAATTTGCACAGTATACGCTGTGAAGACACGAAAAATTCCAGAAAATTTCAACGAATCGAAATTTATTGGTTTCACCATGTATACAACATGCATTATTTGGCTCGCATTTATCCCGATCTACTTTGGAACAGGAAATTCCTACGAGGTAAGCCCTAATTAATGAAATTCAAAGAATGTTCAAAAAAACAGTTCGAAAAAATCAGACGAAAACTTTTCGGGAAACACTCTGTGTGTGTGAAAGGTTGTCTGGGCAGGACAGTGTTATTAATCATACGTTACTCAGTCAGATATGTGGTTATCTCCCGTGAAAAATGGTGACTAGTACATTTTGATGTCCCTAACAAAAATGCTTCAAAACAAACGACATCTTTTGATTTATATAAATCATAAACTATAAGTAACTGGAAGGAATTCCGCCTTCAATGAATCTAGGAAAATGGTATTAAATAACAATGGAATATCCTTTTAGAGCTTCGTCAAAACTAGGTCAACGCAATATCCGAAAGGAACGAGTTTAAAATGAATTAAAAACCTAAAATTATAGAAATTGAAGGTTTCCTTCCTCCCAAAGAGAAAAAGGTTTGTTTTCTGCATGATTACTAATTATGATTAATCATGTGTCAATAAAGATGTCATTTAAATTCAGCCATGAGTCCATTTATTAAGTCTGAAGTTTCAGGTATAACCAAATCGTTCAATTTAAGGTTTTAGAATATCCCTCTTAATAAAATGCACAATTCAGCAATAATTATTTTCCAATTTGGACGACAATAAATTTAAATGTCATATGTTTATTTGAAGTAAACAATTAATTTAAACGTAATTGATTTCAAATTAAAAACTATTTTTTTCACCTTTCGGAAAGTTATGCATAACAGTAGGAAATTAGTTTGTCATACAAAAGAAATTATACATAAGGAAATAAATGTAGATACCAATAATTGTCAGCTCGCATGTATAATTGATTACATGAACTGAAAAATAATGTCTACGTCAGAGTGTAATAAATATATTGCTGAGTGAAGTTGGTATCGTGATCCAAATTCCTTAATTTTGTAGATTATTGGTTTTGATATGACGTCGCAAACATTATAGAAATTCGATATTAATTCGTCGCATTAATTTTGGGCATGACTCGGCATAAGTTGTAAGAAGATAATTGGAGATGTTGAGTATCATTTTTCATATAAAATTTTTGGCTGTAAATCAATACCGAATGTCCTCAAATTAAAAATTTCAATTAAAAGTGAGCAAACAAAAGTATGGGTACCAGACGTTCAAAAATCCAGTTCAACCAGAAACTGTAAAATTTAGGCGTGATTAAAGCCTATGATATAAGAAAACGTTGTTTAAATTAAAAAATAATTACATTTTAAATAAAATAAAGATGTTTGCGAAAGATAGGGCGAAGAATAAATTTGGTAAGCAAACGAAGTCGAGAACACTTGTAACTATCTGATGGTTGGAAATTGAAATGATTTCATTTTTTATTCACGAGGCTCGCATAATTGAATAAATTCCCCGAAAATGTTTAATACAAATTCTTGTAAAATTCGCATTATATGAATCCCAGTTTTGAACGTGTCACCTGCTATACGTACGCTACACGAAAACATCTCTTTATTAAAGAAAACTCAATATAACGTTTATGTCATAACTTTTGAAAGATAAGAGGATTCTCGACAAATATGCCAGATTTTTACAAATCTCGCTGCATATGTTTGCTTGTTTCAGACCCAAATCACCACATTATGTGTGGCTACTTCAATGAATGCAACGGTGGCCCTCGTCTGTCTCTATTCGCCCAAAGTATATATCATAGTACTACACCCAGACAAAAACGTGCGAAAACTGACAATGAACAGCGCAGCTTACAAGAAGTATAACTCGGGACCTACCTCTACTTACACGGCTTCTTCAACTCATAAAGGTTGGTCGAACTATAAGCTTACTTAATCCATTCTGTTACGCCAGTCATATGTATTTCCATCGAATCTCCACAAAACTCAAAATTTGCCGAAAAAATCTTTTACATTACTTATTACAAAGAAAAACTTAAAATGGCCATCTAAAATCAGATTTTTTATGGAATTTTTTTTTATTTGATACCGGAAATAAGATAAGTGTGAACGTGTTGATTCAACCGAATTGTTTTCTATTGATCGATCCGTTAATTTGACCTATCTGTCACGGGGTCTTGTAGAGACCAATCCGTTAGCGTAAAAGGGTTCTTTTTTTAAGGCAATTACTTAAATAGGAATTTTAAAAATTAATCCAAAAGCTAAACATGAACCACGATCTTTAGACAACTAAAAATATTTAATATACATAATTGAAAAATCATTAATTCCTTATTTTTTTAATTTAATTTTCTCTTCTACAAACAACTTTCAACCGATGAACGGAATTTGGCATGCAAATATTATTAATATAAATTGGCTCAATTCAATTATGAAATGAATTTTGAATAAATTGGTTTTAAAACATTGAAAAAATAAAATGAATTGAGGACGACCGGAGGGTAGTTCGATGTGTCAATAAACTACAAATTCGTTTTATTATGCGACTAAATATTCTTCCAAAAAAATTTTACTGGAGTGTACGGTTTATGAATATTTTTCAACCATATTGCGTGTTTTTTTTAACCATTTCCCCCACGTTCGAGTGAAAATGCATGAGATCAAGCCAAATCGACTTGAACGTCTATCGGCGTGGCATTATCTTTGTAGAGTTTTCCAAGAAACAATCCAGTTCGCATCAATAATTTAAGTTTAAGCCAAGCCGTCGTGGCTAATTTCGTCCGTTACGTTTTTTTTTCTGGCTGTCATCAGTTTGCATTCTATTAGCAATTTTTACAAAAATATGGAATATCCTCAACAGTTGTTACAAATTCATAAAATGTATGATTCTGAATTCGCAAACACGAGACAGAAAAGCCGAAATTAACAATTCATGACCACAGTGAATCAGTTAGTGGGTTTGACGTCTCTTGCGCCTTCGTAAATATTTTTTCAATATTTCCAGGAGGAGATCCCAGTGAAACCATTCCTATGCAAAACGTGGGCCCCAATACTCCTTCAAGAAGTTCTTGTACAGCTGCGACTACTGAACCTGCATCCGACAGTGTGGCTCTACTCTAATACGATTCTTCCAACTAAAGGTAATTAAACTGGATAAAGTTTCATAAAAATTAGTCACGGAATCTTTGATATTAAAAAACCGGTGATGTAGTCGTATTTACGATGCAATCAATTTTTAAGTAGTTCTTACTCTATGTTACAAACGATATGTCAGCTTTGCTTCTCCCTTTCATATTTTCCCATTTATCCATTATTTTCGTATATCTCCTGACACAATAGAAATGAACTTTCGAAAAGGATTTCTATTTATTTTTGTTCAGCTCTGATATATGTTCATTCCGCTCTAGTTATTATCGCGAATTATAACTTTAATTAACTTTAAATTAATTAAAACTGTTTTCAGACTTACGACACCAATAAATTTTATCACTTACTCGTACATCCACCATCCACGGTTTAATACAATCAACATTTATTTATTTCACTCTTTATTACATTATTTTTAAACAGGAATTTCTGAATTTGCAAAATCAATTCATTTCAACTATCCACAAGTGGTGTTCACATACATGTAAATGTATTATATTATGTACCAGCACTAAACAATGTGAAGTGTGCTTGAAACTTTGCATCAAATTGCACTGTTGCTTCAACTATGAATAAACATTACTATAGGAATTCCTCTATATTAGCTTAGATTTAATTATAATTAGTGTAAACGATTTGAATGCAATCATGTAACTACAAAAATAACACAAAACACTCATACTTTTCAGGTTTCTGCCCCTCGTCTCAAGACATCATTCGCTAACCAACTCAATATAATTTATTCTAAATATTGCCATATCTGTTGAAAAAGATAAGTCGACTTTATTAGATGCTATACTAATGACCGTGCTTTTTAAAGTAGAGAATATCTAGGACCAAAACCTTGACTTGAACTTAAAGTAACTTGTTTCATTTAAAAAGACAATCTTTGTAAATTAAAATAAATTATTTACGCATTGATTTTTTTCGACAGACTTTAAAGAAATTTAAGTTAAAAAAATTCTTGACTGAGCGAATATGTTCTAACATTATTGTGATATTTTGTTTGGTTTTGACATTAGACTGTGTGATTAAAAAGTTTTAGCCGACGTCTTGCTATCTTCAATTTGTACGTCTGAACTCGGAAAAGTTTTCATCCCTTCGGAACGAAAACTTTTTGATCATACGAGATAAACCAATTGTTTGGAATTTTAAATGTAGGTAAATGTAGAAAAAAAAACAATAAGGAAACTTTATTTCGAGTATAATGAATTAATGATTAATGACTCATACGCAACCAACGCTTGAATTAAATCCGAAATAAAGTTTCTTTATTAATGTAAATTAATAAATACATATCAAACTTGTATTTTCTTGTTGTGTATAAATGGGTTTATTTTTAGAGCATTTCGAAATGTATTTCCGTTAAAAGTAAAAAACTCATTTGCCCAGTGGTTGGTATCCAATTACATTATCAATGTCTGACATCAATGTAAAAAAAACACAAAATCCTGGCGCAAACTACTGTTGTTTTCTTTATAATTTTAAACGCAACAACGGCATGTTCCCAAATTTTTGTGAGCTGTACTAGTCACCGAAACTTTATTTTACTGTAGATTAAATAATTGTGATATCCTACAAAGTACAATTTCAATTTTATCCTAGTGTTTTGTTGCTCTATATAAATACGAAATAAATAAATTGTTACCTATAAACAGTGCTTTTTCCTACCCAGACCCCCCCCCCCCCCACACACACACACACACACACGCACACACAAATAAAACTGCTAGTGTGTGTAAAAATTTATTATAAAAAGTTTTTGTACAAGAATTCTGTAAAAAGGGTGTCACATCAGGACATACATAACAATAATATACAAATAAAATAAATAGATTACAAGTTCAAGGGGTTGGTTTGTGCCACTCCCGCGACTTCGCAAATATTTTTCGAAATCTTACTCATCTTTGTGAAACTATCCAAATTTTTACCAGTTGAAATGGCTTTAAGGTTATTATCGATCCTTTCCGAACCCTAAAAACACCAATTATAAAATCATAAAAAAGAAATTAAAATACGCGCCTCTAATATCCAGGCTTCCGTCATTAATTTCTCGTGATTGGCCGTTGGTAGATGCTCCTTAAGTGAATTACTAGCCCTTGACAAGACCACCGCCCCGGTGTAAATATCAATCGCCGAATTGGCCAACCTGTTTAAAATAAATTGTTCATTCACAATATTCTTTCCATACTTAATTAAAACCATTTCCACAGCTTGACCAAAAGCGTCAATTTTCTGCAAAATAGTCATCAAAAGTGGGTCACACAAACCCTAAAAAATTACTTTCGCTAGCAAATTCGCCGAATTGCCCAAATCTTTGTGTACGAAATGATCCATCGCAGGTGGTGAAGCCAAACCTACAGACTTAAAGACCCGTTTTGAGGCCTCTTCAAAAATCAAGCCCAAGTTGGCCGTGGGGTTCTTGAAAGCATTTTGTAATTCTTTGAGGTGGGCACCGGCATATTGAATCCCAGTTAAAGCAACGAAAAGTCGCAAAATATCGTTAGTTCCCTCAAAAATCCTGAAAATCCTCAAATCTCTCAAAACCCGTTCAAGACCCGTTTCTTTCATGAAACCCATGCCACCCATGATCTGAATTGCTTCGTCGCACACATACCACGCCGACTCCGATGCAAAACACTAAATTCGAAAAAAATAGATATTTTACATTTTCAAAACCAGAAATCTCACTTTCGATATGGCGGCTTCAAGATGGTAACTCGTCGATCCTGAATCCATATTCCCCGAAATCATGTACGCCATACTCTCAGTCACGTACTGCAGCATAGCCATTCTGGCAATTTTCTCTTGAATGGCCCCAAAAGAGTCGATTCTTTGCCCGAATTGTTTTCTTTGTGTCGCAAAGTCCACAGCCTTTTTAATACAAGACCGCATGGTCCCGGCCAAAGCAGCCGCCATTCCGAAACGGCCATTGTTCAATATGTTCATTGCCACCTTAAATCCGTTGCCCACACCGCCAAGGACATTTTCAACAGGAACTTTGACATCCTCGTAGTAGACTTCGGCTGTGTTTGAAGCTTTAATACCCATTTTTTTCTCCGGGGGGCCGTTTGTAACACCACCGAAGGATCTTTCGACGATGAAAGCTGTAACTTTATCGACAGTTTTGCCGGTTTTTGGGTCGTTGACGGGAGTTTGGGCAAAAACTGTCATAATTTCAGCTAAACCGCCATTACTTATCCAGATTTTGGAGCCGTTGAGGATGTAGTGTTTGCCATCAGGAGACAAAACAGCGCGAGTTCTAGTAAAAACGAAAAATAAGTCAAAAAAAATTTAATGTGAGTTTCGGAACTGCCTGTATATCTCTTGAACAATTTTTATATATACATTTTGAACTTATTTTTTATTTTTCTAAAAATATATTTTCAAAACGTGATTACTTAATGTTAATGGCCATCCGATGCAGAGGTCACTAAATGTGATAAGAGTGCACGAGTCATTTAAAAACATCGGCTTAAGTTCATGCGTTTTCTAAGATAAATTTAAAACCACACTACGTGTAAACATAAATATTGTAAATATAAACAGCCGCTTAGCTAAAAATATAATCCCTAAGCAAACAAAACACGTGTCAGGTTTTGTCAAAATGATTTAAAAATAGTATTTTTAACTTACTTTATTGAACCAGCATCTGATCCTGATGATGGTTCAGTCAGGCAAAACGCCGCGAATTCCCCTGAAGTGACCCTTGGTAAATACTTAGCTTTCTGTTCAGAGTTCCCCACCAACAAAATCCCCTTAAATCCAATCGACTGATGAGCCCCCAACGTTATTCCAACCCCCAAATCGTTCGCCCCCACAATCTCAACTAATCTAGCATACTGAGTATTAGTTAACCCCAACCCACCCAAATCCTGGGGGACTTGTAGTCCAAAAGCGCCCAATTCCCATAGCCCCTTCAACGAATTTTCATCGACTTTTTCCAAAGCATCATTTTTTGCCGGATCATTTACTTCCTGTCAATGCAATAGTTACATGAGACTTTATTGATTTATTTAAATCTAACCTCAAAAAATTTTGAAACTGGGTCAACAAGCATTTTGAGCGTATCACGTTGTTCTTCGTTTAGGACATTTGGATAAGGGAAAACTTGGCGACCTTCAATTTGCCCCCTGAAGATGTTCATAACAAAAGAAGTGTTTTCACCAGGGGATGAGGAAGGTTTATCCGTGTTTTGAACAGTTTTGCACTGTACCGCCGTGGTTGTAATAAATCTAGAAATTTTTAGTTAGAATCAATTTAAAATAGTTGAAATCGAAAAAAGTGAGGTTAGGAAAGAAACTTACCTTGTAAGGGCTGCATTTTGGACTTTACTTTGATTTTGTACACAAAACTTAGCAATTCGCAACATAATTATAACAAATTAATTACTTAATGCCACAAAAATTCAACTTAAAACTTAATATGGAAGGAAACTTTATCACGGATGTGTTTTATATAATTGAACAGACCCTTGCCCACGATACGAACGGAATGATCGTAAAATTTGGAAATTAATAACTAAAATTTAACGCACTCAACTAGAACTTTGGACTTTGGACTGAAAAGAAATGCAAACAGGTGGACTAAAAATAATTCGACAAATGGACCTGTCAAATTCAGGTTTGGTATCACTGATTTCGTACTCTCCAAAATTCTACAGCCTAAAACACCATAAAAAAATAAAATTTTCGAAATTAGTCATTTTAGCAAATTTCATGCATATTTTCATGAAATATTACACATTCAAAGTCGCGCCGCCTAACATATTCATAATGTTCGACAGTGATAACAATAATTATGTAATTATTTACATAAAAGTCATAGCAACAAAACCTTTTTACCTATTACAATGCATTATGTATCTGAAGTGAATATTCGGGCATAAATGTAAAAATATGTTAAAATCTTGATAAACAAAATCGCTCAATTTAAATAATAAAGAATCACATTTCAGACACTAATAATCACATTAATACATTCATTTTTATTCAGACGATTGCAAATCATGATTTGTTTGTTAAATTTTTTTGGGATATTTTACTGATCATATGTGATGATAATATTTCGAATGCATTGACCGTCATAAAAATTAAAACACTCAAAAGAAAATATGTAGTTAATAAAATTCCAGACAAATTGTATAAAAATGCGATTTATTAATTATTAATAATGGCAATGACTCATTCATTCACGGATTAATCTTGTTTTCTGTAAAATAAAAGAAGAGAACAATTCTACTAATAGTCATTCTCAAAAACTGCAAACTTTTTGCATGTATGTATTAGAAAAAAATATATTTTTAAAATACCTATATCATAGAGTGTTATGTAGTGTTAAAAAATAATATAATGTGGTAAAAAGGTAAATATTATTATTTCTAATTCTAATAACATATTAGATGTTTAAATTAAAATAATTGTAAAATATGTTTTCGCTATTGTTAATATTATCTTTCCAAAAAAAAAACCTTGCGAAAGAGCAAAGTTTCCAAACAGGATGTGAATGAACCGCAACATTTTCGCAAACTGCGGCGTAAATTTTTTGCTGGTAGGACTTTTTCCGAGAACAAAATAAATTAATTATAGTCGGCTTTATTGCAGAACATTTACCGTGGAAATTCCTTTTATCACCTAGGAAGTAAAATATGTAATCATTCGAAATGACGCAAGTCGCGCAAGCTTTTAGCGTAAAACCGAAATTAGGTCGGCAGTCTTGCCACCCAAACGTCGCAAAATTACCTATCTGGCTTATCAAAATAAACAACTTCCAGATCATTCGTCTCGTACTGCCAACATTAATTATCAGTATGATAAATAGATTTAAAAATATTGAAAACGCTTCTGAGTAGAGTAATTTTCATATTTGTATTTATTGGGAGTTTGTGTAAAAAATGTGCAAAAGTGTGGTTGTTCTAGTGTCATTTTTACTGTGTTACGCGGTTTTACACTGTGATGGGGCTGCTTCTGATATCCAGCTCGATGCGAAGGCCCAAACCACCCACCGGATAGATAGCTTAAATTTGTTATCTTATACGTTTCTTCTAATTCTTACTGTACTTACAATATGGTTGTTCAAGCATCGTAGGGTTAGTTTTTTACACGAAACGGGACTTGCTGTCATTTATGGTAAGGTATTACGTCGGTTTATGGCTTGTTGCGAGGTGCCCCCTTTTAGGACTCATCGTTGGGGCGATTATTCGCTACTCAGGGAGTCCTTCACATGTGCTCAACATGCAAGTCTTTGCGAATGACCCTAAATACAACACGAGTTTGCCTCCAGACACCGTGTCTTTGCACTTCCCTGTCCAGGGGCCTTACATAAAAACCAACAAGACGTTTCAGTACACCTTTAGAGGCGAAATCGCCGATCCCGTGGAGAACGAAATCGATTTGAAGGCGACATTCGATCCAGAGATTTTTTTTAATATCATTTTACCACCAATCATTTTCCACGCGGGATATTCCCTAAAGCGGGTAATTTGATTTGTTCGGTTGCTTGTTAGGCTTGGTTCTGGTGTAACGACTAATTGGATGACTTTTCAGAAATATTTCTTTCGTAATTTGGGCGCAATACTAACATTTGCAATAATTGGTACGACGATATCGTCCTTTATTGTAGGAGCATTGATGTATGGCTTTGTTCAACTGATGCCTGCAAAACTAGCCAGCAGTATTACTTTCCTGGATACTCTTTACTTTGGAGCCCTCATTTCTTCTACTGACCCACTCACCATCCTCGCAATCTTTAATGATCTACACGTAGATGTTAATTTGTATGCTTTAGTTTTCGGCGAGAGCGTCCTTAATGACGCTGTGGCAATCGTCCTCAGTGGGTAAGAAAATTATATTGTCTGTTTCTCCACCAGTTGACAACATTGAACATATAATATTTTTTCAGTTACAGAATTACAAGTTTTACAAAAGTATTTTTAACTTTTATGTCCTCACATACTTTCATTTTTATGTATACCATGTGTTTGTTGTTGTTAACGGGTTTATTTACGACTATAATTTTCTTTGTTTACTATTAAATTTCATTGTTTTAGTTCTATTCAAAACTATGGAGAGCGATACCAATCAAGGTCTGGTGGATTTGAAACTAAAGCGTTCTTTAGAGCGGTAGGCGACTTTTTTGGGATTTTTATGCTTTCTCTCTTGATAGGAGCCGTAATGGGATGTGTCACAGCATTGATATCCTTTCCAGTTTTATATTTCTGTTTCAAAAAAACAAAACGCAATTTTCCTTAACATTTTTTACATGACGAAATATACAAGGGTTCGTGATTTTCCACTTCTAGAGTCAGCACTTTTCGTCCTAATGTCATACAGCACATTTCTTATAGCTGAAGCTTCAGAATTAACAGGTAAATATATAAAAAAAAATTATTAAATTTAGAACAAATTTTTAGGAGTTGTTGCTGTGCTATTTTGTGGCATATGCCAAGCCCACTACACTTATAACAACCTCTCGGACGATTCAAGAATTCGAACAAAGCAAATGTTCGAATTATTAAATTTTTTAGCCGAAAATTTTATTTTTTCCTATATTGGAGTTTCAATGTTCACGTTCCCCAAGCATCATTTTGACCCTTTGTTTATTCTCACCGGATTTGTATCCTTTTCTTACAAAATATGATACGAATTGCGTTATTTCATACATATTTTTATTTTAATATGCCAAACCTACATTCAAATTTCTTGAAAAAACTAAAATGCTAAAGCAAAACACCTAAAAGTCATAATAAAGCTTAGTACACCTAAATAAATTTAAACGGTTACAAAACTGTATTGTATTTTGGCACTTACTTGGAAGGTTTACTCAATCTTTTTAGAAGCCCGAGGGGTCAATTTTAAAAATATGGAGCCTTTTTGATTAATTCGGTAATTAAAAGGCAAAAAAAGTACAATTTTAAACAAATATTTAATTTATTCTGCAAGAGATACTGTTCATCTACTTCCTAGAAATAATGGATACTTGAACAAAATTTTGTAAACGATCAATCAAAATATTATAAGAAATGTGAGAAATTGATATACATATTCAGTGTATCCATCTTTTTTGAGCGATTTTTTTTATTTTTTTTTTAAAGGTAAATTTAGTTTCAATTGAGCGGTAAGTAATTAATTTAAACTTTGCTAATTTCTTTGAAATTTTTGAATTTTGGTTTGATTTTTTACTTAAGTCAAATAATACATAAAAAACAAAACTTACAGGTTAAAAGTACAGTGAAAATAGTCCTCAATGTTATATAAACACTTTTCAATTAAAAATTCTTTAAGTTTCTTTTTAAAAAGACATGCAGACAAATTACAAAAGTCAGTTGACAACATATAAAATTTAGTACAAAAATACCTTGGTCCAGTTTAGTTTCGTTTAACATAACTAAACTTTTTCTTAACTTGAATCAGACTTGCGCTGCTATTGGTCGAGCGGCAAACATCTACCCTCTGTCTTTCCTCTTGAATTTAGGGAGAAAACCTAAAATTCCGGCGAATTTCCAACACATGCTTTTTTTTGCCGGTAACAAATCTACTAATTGTGATTTATTATTACTGAAATGAATGTAGGTTTGCGAGGGGCCATGTCTTTTGCTTTAGCAATACGAAATACGGTATCGGAAGCTCGTCAAGCGATGTTAACTACGACTTCACTGATTGTAATAATTACTGTAATAATACAAGGAGGTGCGACGATGAATTTGTTACAATGGTTCCAAATTCCGTAAGTTTTTATCGCTAATTTTATTATTTTCTATTATTATGTAATTTAGGGTCGGTATTGATGAAGAAACCGAGGCTTTATCCCATCAAGGGCATAATGTAAGTGTTTCTTTGATTTTGTTTTGTTTTTGCACTGTCATTTGCATACAATCCCCGATTTTTAACCCATTATTAATTATTAGGTTTACAATTCAATGGAGAGTACATCAGGGGTAGGTATTTATTCATATCTAAATTGGGCAATGATGTTTTTGGATTGTTTTAAGTAACGACAAAAACGACATCATTGCAATCACACATTATTTCATCCAGTAATTACAATAGTATAATATAAAAAATCTTTAGGGCAATACACCAAGGACTGAATGGAGTGAAATTAATGAACCGGATTTGACACGATTGAACGAAAAAGCTTTTCTAGCGCGAATTTGGGGCTCTTTTGATACACGCTATATGAAACCGCTTCTTACACACTCACGGCCAACTCTTCTGGAAACGTTACCAGTCTGTTGCAATCCTATTGCCAGATTACTTACAACAACTGAGCAAATGACTCAGGTACAAATTCACTAAATTCGAAATTTGCGTAAGACTTTGTTTCTCTGTCTTTCTAGGAAGGACAGAATAAACCAAACAGAGATTCAGATTCTGATCTTTGTATAGAAGACAATGATTTTACTAATAGTGATCTAAGGGCAACTTCTCATAGAGTAAGTTCCTTTTATTCAGCACTTTGAAAGTGATAGCTAGGTAGAAAATTATTGTTAAATAAGTTGTTTAGTTTACGTTTTTATCAGTTGGGATTGATTTGAATTTATGTTTGTAAATATGGGTTATTATTTTCCGTTATGCCCGCACTGTAAATAAACCGGCACTAGATTGTAGTAATTTGTTATTTAGCTTTATTGAATCTACTGTTTCTTGTTTTAATTTTTTCATGCGCAGTTGGTTTGTTCTTTCTTATTAATAGCACAATTTAATGAATTTTTCTTTACTTTACAGCCAATCCATTCTATTAGTGGACATCAAGTTTAAGAATTTTTTTAACTGTACTCGATCTTATAAAATGTTGTGAATTAAGTCTAGTCATTGAGTTATTTATTACAAGCTTTAAAATTGTGCACTGTTTGAGTTATACACGCGCTTTTTCGCAGAATGAAACTGTATATCTTTGACCTTGACGCTGAATCTGCTTCCTTCCTTACAGGTATTAAGTTAATATTGTGTTCTAGCAGTATTTTTTAAATTGTGTATTGATAAGAAGGCAGTATTATTAAGAGTAGTATATTTTACGCAAAGTAATCAGATTATTTGCAATAATTGTTTTAATTTTTTAAATAGTAGAAACTACTATACAAATTTGCAATATGTTTTTTGATTGATTTAGAGCTTTATTACATCAGAGTATGCCAATATATTGTATTAAAATGCTAAATATGACGTTTTTAAATCACGTGTCTTTGTTTTATTGCATGCACTTTGCTAAAATATTACCATTATATTATGGCTGTGAAGGATAATTTTTACTGATTGTAAATTGGTACTTAAACTTGTTAACGTACTCATCAATAAATTATTGTCAAAGAGAAAATCGGCGTTTTCTTAATCCTTCAATAGTAAATAAATGAGAATGGTGGAATTTGAAACGTGTTTACCGTGTTAGGGATTTAGAATTTGTTAAGTTTGTCAGTTGGTAGTTTCAAAAATGCACAAACAACTGTGGTGTAGACGCCGCGGGGTGTAAAGAATTGTTGTATAATAAAGACGATTAGAAGAAATATCATTAAAACGATTGAAGACGAAAATCTTAAGATTTAAAGGTTAGTATAACCTCGACATTATTTTTATTGATTGATATTCCTTTGTTACATTTGTGCCAAATGTCAGTTAAATGTTACCCAAACAACTAATAAATTTAAATATTTCGGTTCACATCCTACAGATAAATAATAAAAAAAAAACATATTTTAACCAAAGTAAGTTTTTCGACAACGGACAGTTGAACGGACAAATATTTTTGTTTGCCTTTAACCTAACACTTCATTTTTAATTAACTAGGTCTGAGCGACCATGGGCTCAAAACGCTCGAAGAAGTCGAAACAAGAACAAGAACTGCTCTCAGATAAAAACAATAGTGACACTGACGATGCTCTCGAGCCTGAAATTAGTGGAATTACCGAAAACGGTATAGTTTCAACAATCGCCAAGGCCCCGAAGAGAAAAAAGAAAATCGAAGGTCTAGAAGAAGTGCCAAGGAAAGTCAAAAAAACCAGTGAGAGTGATAGCGAACCCAAAAAAAACAAAAAGCGGAAAGTTAAATTTGAGAGTGTGTCAAGTAGTGAGAGTGAAGAAAAACCTGTTGAAAATCACGAGGGTGACATTCAGAAAAACATCAAAAACGAGCCGGGAGGTATGCAGGCTGTTTTAAATTCAGTGCATTAAATTTAACCAAAAATTAATGGAACAAACTCGTAATTTTAAACAACCCTTCAGTTAGGAGTTAAAATTGGTGCTTGAAACTCATAGTGTGTTTTAAAGGCGAAAAAAATTCAGTAGAGTTTTTTAAAAGAAATTTAATGCAGTGGATTTTAAAACACTTTGTATTATAAAACTGTTTCACATTGATTTTGTCGTTATTTTGGTAGAAAAAAGAAAAGAAGAAATTACCTGGCCAGACGCAGATATTGTTGAATTGATTAACAGAATTGAAAGTAACATTCCAGAAAAAGATGCATTATCTTACAGGTCCCGTGTAGATAAATTAAATTGGAATAACGTTAGTAACCTTTTGTGTAAATTATTTTCCCTCACTGAGTAATTTTAGATTGCTTTCAATAATTACAATCCCGAACAATGTAAAAAAACCTGGCTGCAGGTGCAGAAAAGAATACGGCGGTTTCGGCTGTTGCGTGAACTTATAAACGATGCAAAAGAATGGATTAATACTCCTAAAACAAACCATAAAGTTGCAAGACCCGTAAGGATATTTTTTCTGTAATTTTTTTTTATTGATTTATTATTATTAGCGGAAACATCCTGATATGCCCAGAAGGCCTCTTTCTTCTTATTTATTATTCTACTTAAAGAAAAAAGACCAGATTCTTAGTGAAAATCCGGGTCTTGATGGGGTATTCATTTTTTCTTCTTAAGAGTGGTACTAATTTAGTTGTTTCAGAGTGATCTCAGTAAAATTGTCGGTCAAATTTATAAAAACCTTCCACCTGAAAAGCGGGAAAAATATGAGAAAATGGCAGCTACAAACCGAGAAGAATATGTGGAAAAATTGAAAATATTTTTGTAATAATTTTTGCTTGAAAATTTTGAATTTTTAACATTTTTTTTTTTAGTGAAAATCACCCCGAATTTGTGCCACCACAACGATTGAACCACAAAGAAAAGACAGTTAAAGTGGAAAAAGAAAAGTTACCAAAACCTGAAAAGCCTTCACCTAAAGTCGAAAAAGAGAAGCCGGTGAAAATAGAGAAGGAAAAGGTGCCAAAAGTAGAGAAGGAGAAAACTCCAAAAGTTGTTAAGGAAAAAACAAAAGGAGGAAAACCGGGAAGACCACCTAGACCAGTAGATAAAAGTAATAGACCTCCAAAAAAATGTCAAACTCCTTTCGGGTTATATTACGCATCCGAATTGAAAAATATGGAGGCAGGGACCGACAAACATGCTTTTAAAGAAAAGTGCAAAGCACAGTATAAGCAAATGTCCGACAAGAAGAAGGTGTATTGGATTAATTTAGCTGAAGAAGATTTGATTAGATATCAAGTATGGTGTTTCTGTTTGTCGCAATTTTGTTATTAAATTGATTTTTAGGAGGAAGTCAAAGCGTACAAGTTGAAAAACCCAGATTACAAACCACACAAAGTCAGGTCTATACTCACTAAAAGAGAAAAAGTATCAAAAGAGAGGGCGCAGGGGAAGCCTGCGAAACCTCCAAACTCGGCTTACGCTCTATTTTCTCGGGTTATGCTACAAAGTGAACAAATAAAATCTGTAAATCCAAAAGACCGAATGAATTACATCGCCAACAAATGGAGAACTTGTACAGAAGAAGAGCAAAATTCGTACCGAGACCAAGTTGTCAATGTACATATTTTATATTGTTGTTAATTTAATGGTTTGCAAAATATTTTCAATCAAATTTTAAGTTTCAATTAATTTAAAATAAAAGACAATAAGTTTAATTCACTTTCAGTAAATTGACACTAAATGTTTTAATTTCAGTTGATGGCAAAGTACAAACAAGACTATCAAGCATATGTAGAGACACTACCTGAAGAAGAACAAAGAAAAATTCTAGCTCAAAAAAAACGAAAACGTCGCTCTGGACGTCGCAGCTTTGATATGATAAGAAAGCCGCGAAAACGCAAAAGTGTCAAGAACTCACAACCTAGGAAACTTAAATTTGCCGAACCAGAACAACCCCCAATGTAAGGAAGTATTTGTTCAGCGACAGATGTCTAATTTTACATCTTTAGATCACCTTGTAAATATTTTGCCACCTTATACAAGGGCGAAGATGATCCAACTCAGGCATGGAAATTACTTAGCGTGGAAGAAAAACGTAAATATGAAGAAGAATTAGTAAAGAAAAAACAAGCTTACATTGTCGAATTTGAAAAGTTTTTAAAGAGTCTCAGTAAAGAAGAGTTGGAGGAGTTTTCAAGATCGCGCCAACAACAAGTACAGTCAGATGATGTAAGTATTTAACAATGTTGCCACTTGAGTTGTAGTTGATTTGTTTCACAGGACGAGAGTTCTGAATGTTCGTCTGGTTCTGAGGGAGAAGATGAAGATGATGAAGGTCAAAATGAGGGTCGTGATTCAGAGAGCGACTAAATATTTATATGTGAACTTCTATGTTAAAGCCGTAGGCAACATGACTAAAAAATTGGTTATAAAATAACAATATGAAAGGCATTGATTGATTTGTAGTGTTGTTGTGTGAAAATGTTCAATACTGTGTAGTGGTTTGTGTCAATTTATAAAATTTGTATATAGTGATATTACTTTTTGTAAATACTTAGAAACTAATGTATAACAATCATATGCCTACACAATTTTGATTATTCCAGACCACTTGAAATGTCGCATTGAGTAAAATACTTATTTTTTAATTGTTTATATTAATATATTAATTAATAATATATTAATCAGAGTCGGTAACTCGCACTAGTTATTTTTTTCACTATGTACTGACCACTTCAGTTACTGTTTTTACAATTGAGTATACCTGGTTTTGTAGAGTTTAATAAAACTTAATATTTATAAAAAAAATGTATCAAACTGCACATGCTCATTCGTAACCTTTAAAATTTGGAGCAAGTTTTGCTGAAAAAAAAATACAATTGACTTAATTATAATATAATGCTTCTTAATTTCCTATAAAATAATTAATGTTGGTCAAGTAATATATTTAAATAGAAAAGATTTGTTCACAATTTATTTTTAATAACAATACGACCGATGGATAAATCTAGGTGTGCAATTTTTGCGGCAACATTCATCTGCAGCCCCCCCTGGAAGTTCGTACCGCCTTTTCGTTGACCAAATCCGTATTTTTTCTTTTTGACAGTTACACAACAAATATCGTATTTCGTCAAATCTGTCACCACAGAATACGCCTGGTTGGTCCCAAAATGAATCTATTTCGTTGCTCATTGCGTTAGAAAATTCCCAGATTATTGAATATATTATCATCAAATTTATAATAAAACCCATTTTGTTAAACATTGTTTAAACTGGGCGATATTTGCAAACTGACTTATTATCTCAACTCGCTCTTGTTTTATAGAAAACTTGCGTATTGGCGTTTTTACGTAAATCAACATCCGAGAAATTATGCAAATGCCATTAGGAACGTAGTTGCCTTTAATTTTACTGACACGAATGCTTTTCTTGTCCTAATTAATCAGTACATCCCTTAGGAAGTACACTTTATACACATAATACTTTTGAGTTCGCTTCTTTGTGGTTTTAAAAAAAAACTTAACAAAAAATCTGCAAACACCTCAGTACGATTTTATTGTATAATTTCTAATTTAGTTTTAAAATTTTCATTATCCTTAACTTTCTGTGGGCATAGCGTAGCGTATCCACGGGGAATCTATTTACCCAACAGGCTATAGACTAGGGGCGTCGGCGCCAATGGGGCTCATCTAATAAAAACATGAAGAAAAAAAAAGAAATAATTGTGTGTTGTTATAAATTAAATGGTTATTTGTGTACCTAACGAGGGAAGAAAATTATTTTTTCTTGCCGAGAGCGCTGTTTATTTCGGTCGAAGGCGATAAAGGAATCGTGCTTTACCCATAGGAAAAAAATTCTTTTTCTGACGGTAAAGACAACTTCAACCAAAAAAATCATATTCACATTTGCAGCTTACAAAATTTGCAAAAATTATCGGAATTCGCTCACTCTGTGCAAACTTTTCGAAAAAAAATCAAGAAGTTTTATTTCATGTATATTTACTTAATGTAATGCCAATACAAAATTAATTAATTCTAAACAAGAAACACATTATTTGGATTCAAAACAAAGTACACAATAACCGTCTATAATAGAGACTCTTCCGTAGCTTCAGTAGCTGGCTCAGCCGATTCATTTGGTCCATCCTTTGATCCAAAAATATACGTTCCCAGTGAAAATGCTTTATTTTTAATTTTTTTCATTCGTAAGAAAATACCGGAAATGATTTTCATTTTGCTGTCACTCTCTTTTGCATTTATAATACATTTATTTTTCTTTTCGTAGATTTCTTTAATTTTAGGACCAACATATTTACAGTTGAACAATTTTTGTATGTCATCTTCTATGCTTTGAGAGGTTACACTGCAATCTGTGAGTGAATCTGATGCTTCAAAATATTTTTTCAGTTCCATATGTTTTTCTAAGATACCCTTTAAATCTTTAATACGTTCAGAATCTCCTTCGTATTCCGCTCTAAAATAAATAAAAGTTTACAAAATAAGTAAATAAAGGTAAGTTCATACCGTTTAATTAAAAGATCCATGTACCCTTCATATGCATCATTTACAGATGTGATAGCATTATTTTTTATAAAAACTGCAAATTTTGCGGCACATTTTGTCATAAAATCAAGGTCATTTTGTAACTTCTGTTTTCGTTGTAACACTTGCTGAATATATCGCTCAAAAGTATCGATTTTACTTTCTGTAGAGTCAAGTTCTTTTTTAACATCAGTAACCAATACTTTTTTCTGATGTTTTTTGGTTCCGTAAAAAATTATCATATGATCTGACAATGAACATTCGCATTTCTTGCACGTACCATCCCAAAGTCTAATTACGGAACAATAACGAAGACCCCAGTGGCCAATACTCTCCTCTTTTATCAGATTTCCCACCCAAGTGCATTCTTCGTGACAACTTTTGTTGAAATTCCATTTCTGTACACCATCACTCTGAAAAATAAACTTAATTAATTAAATACACTAGTCTCCAAACAAATTTAAAAAAAAATACTCTAGTTTCTAGGGTAGCACAGCTGGAATTGGTACAAATATTGGATGGCTTTTCAAACTGAATTATTTCTAAATCAGTTTCTGTTATATACAATTTATCTTCCAATTCTTCTTTCCTTTTTCTAGCTTCTCTAATTTTTTCTTCATTCTTATTCAGGTTCTGTATATTTTCTTTCAAAAGATCCGACAAATCTGATAGAGGTTTAAGAATGGCGGAAATTAACCCTCTTGTTTTATTAAGGCTTACACTATTCTTTACATCATGCGGTTCCAGATTACCAACGTATTCAAACAACCTATGTAAATAATTACAAAAAGAAATATAGCATATACTTACATATAAGTATAATACTTACCGTAAAAATTCATCCTTTGAAACATCCCAACTCTGCTTATAATAGTTCATTGTACAGGTTTTCAAGTTTACGTTATTGTGTTTTGCTACCAAGTACTTAATACTTTCATTATCAAAACAAAAAATATTAGTATTTGTATGCAGTTTGATTTCAACATCTGTCAATTTTTCATTAATTGCACATATCATTCTCCTCAGTCCAGGTAAAGTATCTCCCGGTCCATAATCTTGACTTCTAGTATTTGAAAAAATAAAAATAATATTTTGGCATGCTGATTTATGTAAGCGCGACATTATCTCTTTCATGCAGTATTCAAAGAAAACTGTATTTCTGGTGTTCGTTGGTCTCATCAAAAAGCAAAAGGCATGTATTTCATCCAAGTCACGTAAATGATTCAAGATCATCTCACAATGTTCATTATCTGCAATTACACCATTCTGGTCTCCCATTCCTGGAGTGTCTACTAAATTTATGTTAAAGTCACTTTCTTCGCATTCAAAAAAGTACGACTTAACAGTCTGAGTACCACTACAACCTGCTTCCTGAATTTTATCATTATCTGTACCTATTTCATATTCGTGGTCTTTGCCATCTTCATCGTAAATGGTCACAACCGTAGGTATGACAACACTATTTTCAAAATCTTCAACTGCTTTATCTATATTGTCATATCTAAAATAGGTTGGGAACATGTTGATAAATGTTGATTTCCCGACGCCCGTCTCTCCGATAACAACAATGTTTAAAGTTTTTTTATTAGACATTTTTCGGGATTACGACTTTGTAACCTTTTTATGAAAGTTGTTTCTGAAAATAAAAATGTAATAAAATATATCAAGAATTTAAGATATAATTTATTTAAAAATGTGGTCCATTAAGGGCCACATATACCTAATTTCGCCATAGGTCAAAATTTTAATCTTTTAAACTACAGGAGGGACATGTACTTTCGCCACAACTATCCCGAAAGAAATAAATATATATATAGGAGGGTGCGCCAGAACTCGCGCCCCAGAGAAAATAGCAAAAAAGTAAGATACCAGGAACATGAAAAAAATGTTTAAGAAATTCTGTTAAAAAACTTTGATATTTATTTTTTAAAATTTGACATTTTTTTATATCTATTTAATGATACTGATGATCTTCTATATGTTTTTTTACAATTATTTAGTAAAGAGACAAAAATTTTGCCAATAAAAGCCACAAATAACATTTAACAGAGTTACAATTTAGGATACAGCTTCCTCTTTTGTTTCCTCTTTTAATAGCCTATAGCAAACAAACTTGGAAAATTATTTTTTCAACAGAAATAGAGTCAAAGTGCAAATTTTAAACCCTCACAACTTCGAAATATATATAGATAAAATTTTTTTAACATTTTTTCCATGTTCCTGGTATCTTACCTTATATGGCATTTTTCTTTGGGGCGCCAGTTCTGGTGCACCCTGTATATATCTCAATTTTAAGGCTTCACAGTTCTCACCCAAATATTTATATATTTTTAAAAGTTTTACACGACGTGCAAACAACAAAATATAAAAATAGTACCTATACTATCTATCTCCAAATATAAATAACAATATGCATGCCGTTATTGTTAAAATCACCCCTTTTGACTATTCGAAATCAAACTAAAGAATTCTCAAAGAAAGGTATTTATTTCCGATTATTACAACTGTTTCTCTCGTAAGACCACAAATCTCAGAATGACGCCCTCGAGTTCCCGATTAGTCCTCCTTCTTTCGGTTCCCTTGCCCCGTCCATGCCCTCAGCACTTAGCCACAAGACCCGAAACCAGATTACGTCATCGAAATCGGTACGCATTCTAACATTATTTATCTTCTCTACCCTCAATCCCTGCTGTAAGTTTGAAAACTCGCCATTTTTAGTTCGTGGCAGGGGCGGATGGGGCCACCGGAAGTTCGAGAATTTTCCTGGTGGGCCACTGGCTGGCCTATCGGCTGCCAGCTGATGGGCCGCGATCAAATATCATCTCATCTTATTATTCTATAATCTTTTTTATAACCAGAAATGCACTTTATATGTAAATAAAACGGAGCATTTGTTTCGGGGTCGGCGTGTTTTACATAGAAAAAATACGCTTCAAATTGAACATAAAATATAATAACATTCGTCTCTAGTGTCGAGACAATAGAGAGCGGCACCTTTTTTATATCTACAATGGATCGGTCATAAATGTGCTTGATTGAAAATAAAATATTAAGTTACTGATATGTACTAACTAAACGTGCTTTGGTAAATATGGTAGGCTCTTATTTCAAATTATATATTCTATGTGTATATTTATTAATTTATTATGTGAAAAGCCCAATGAAGCACGAGAAGGTTGTAATTTGATATTACATACAGCTGATTCCATGTTTTCCGCCGAAGCTAAAGTGTATTTAGTTTGTAGGAATTAAAAAAAATCCGCGCGGTTTTATACAAGATATCCTTTTTACTTAAATTTATATCGAGTGTCCAGTCTCAAACTCGAACAAATAATGTTAAATGTGAATTTTAACTATTTTGTCAATTTCTTTGATAGTAAAATAAACAGGTATCTGAGTAATCAAGATTTTAATTGGTTTTTATTAAAAACAACAGAAAGTATTAAGTTATAAAGGTCAAATACTTTTAGACTTCTATTTTGATAATAGAAGCCCCTATTTACTTATGGAGTAATTATTCATTTTTACTTAAATCCAAATAAATTGTAATAAAACTTCAGCGTTTTTCACAACAAGTACCGCATACTAATTTGATATATACAGGATGTTCCGTTTTTATTGTTACAAATTTAAACAGGTGATAGGATATTCAATTCTAAGACAAAAGTTTCCTATAAACATGTATCGAAAAATGCTTGGTATGGGAGCTACACCCTCTGAAAGGGGGCTAATAGGTTTTTGCTAATATTTCAGAAACCATTTAAGATAAAATTAGAAAATTTGGTACAGATGATAATKTTTATWCACCTAAACGAATYCAAACATCAAATGTCGAAATTTCTAATCAGMGCCGWCCAAAACTGATYGGGTTTAGGGTAAAAAAATACCCTATCTATTTTGGCTCTAGTTTTTTTAGTTATGCATGGTAGTCACTTTGAACAACTCCTTTAGATTTAGGCAAATTCATTTAATTAATATTATTATTGTTACTGTAATGTAATGTTAATAGTTGAGCTTGATTAAAAAGTATGAATTTCTTGCTTTTATTATTCTGTAAATTCTTATTTATTTGAATGTTGTATTGGTGTGTAACATACATTTTAAATTAATTTTATTCAAAAACAATAAGTCGTATCGACACAAGAGAGACTTTTCTGTGATAAACTATCGAACTTAAGATTTGCTGAAAGTACCGAGAAACTAAAGCCAAAATAAATAGGGTATTTTTTTACCTTAAACTCCCCCAATTTCGTACGCCCCTGATTAAAAATTTCGACATTTGATGTTTGAATTCGTTTAGGTGTATAAAGATTATCATCTGTACCAAATATTGTAATTTTATCTTAAATGGTTTCTGAAATATTAGCAAAAACATATTAGCCCCCTTCGGGAGGGTGTAGCTCCCTTACCAAGCATTTTTCGATACATGTTTATAGGAAACTTTTGTCTTAGAATTGAATATTTTATCACCTGTTTAAATTTGTAACAATAAAAACGGAACACCCTGTATATTTGATAGATTTGTAAATTGTATTTTAACGTAAAAATACAGTTTTTATTCTTCTTTTCGAAATCATTTGACGCGAAATAATTTTATCTTTCGGTTGGTACCTAAACTTGGTGCACAGAAAAGAAATGAAAAAAAAATCAAATTACAAGCAGCTCTGAAGATGTTCATCAAAAAACTTTATTTTCGTTTATTAAACCGTATAATGATTTCAAATGAACGTAGCGTCACATCCTTAGTAAAGGAAATAATTAATAAATTTGTAAAAAGGAACGCATTTTTTCAAAAAAAATACTGTATTAAGTGGCAAGAAGTTTTTATACATTTTTTTAAATTTCATTTATTATTGGGCCCTCATTTCAACTTTCCACCCCACGAAAAAATTTGCCAGTCCGCCCCTGATGTGAACGATCATTTTCTTGGCTTCGATACATAAAAAATAAATAAAAGTAGGTACAGTCGAACAAAATGAAAATGACGCCTCAATAAACCAGCCCCTGCTGGAAGCAGACAGGGTCGTAAATTATCGGATTGCAGTTTCAACATAAATTCCTCTTGGAGCCGGTTTACAGAAAGCGAAATTAAAATTTAATTCAGAATTAAACTAATTCCAATTAATTTGCCATTTGCTTTGCATTGACAAACGTCAAATTAATTATATAAATGAAAATATTGAATTTTTTTAATGAAAAATTTAACAAACCATTTCTTAAAGAAAATTATTCATTAATAATGACATGACATAATGACGAAAAAACAAATCATTATTAACTTAATATTTTTTTAACTGTTTTTACAAAATAAAATTAATTTTAATTTTTGAACGAAATAGGTTTTCTCTATTTTAAATAGATTTTATGTAAAACAGCAAATGAATTAAACTATTGTTTATTTGAGAGAAAAAAAAATTAATTCCACGTGTGCCTTTATCACGAGTGTGTGTAATTCTTTGAGTAGAAGCGAAATTAAAATTTAATTCAGAATTAGGTAAACTAATTCGAATTAAGTTGCCATTTATTCTGCATTGACAAACGTCAAGTTTAAAATTTAATTGCGATTAACACGTACTGTAAACCGGCCCTAAGTTTTCTATTAGTTTTGCAATTGTCATTGAAAACGAATCAAAATTATTCATTTAATTAAACCAGGAAAAACACGGCAAAATTATTTCAAATATTTTAGTTCTGCTTTTATTTTTTGATAATTGTAATACTTTTAAATTAAATAAAAACGTTTAGTTTTATAAAAACACAATTTAACAAAAACCAGTTCTTATAAAGAAAATTATGCATTAATAATAAAATTAGATTAAGTAACATAATTTTTGTACGAAATAGGCTTTCTCTATTTTAAACTTGATTTTATGTAAAATAAATAATTTATAAAATAATTTTATTTTGAAACAGTTACAAAAATATTAAATAAATAATGATTAGTTTTTTCGTCAGTCAATGTCATCATTAATGCATAATTTGCTTCAAGAAATGGTTTGTTAAATTTTTCATTAAAAAAATTACATTTTCATTCAACTTGAGTTTTGTCAATTCAAAATAAATGGCGCTTAATTCCAATTAGTTTAATAATTGTGAACTAAATTTTCATTTCGCTTTCTGTAAGCCGGCTCCTAAAGGAATTTATCTTGAAACTACGTCAAGTTTGCAATCCGATAATTTACGATCCTCCCTGCTTGAGGTTAGAAGGGTCGGATCCACAGCAGGGGCTGGTTTATTGAAGCGTCATTTTCACTTTGTTCGACTGTACATATATACCTACCATGTCAAATAGTCGTCTTGAATCGTTTTTAGTTTTGAATAAATCACAAGTATTGAATTAAATAGATTACAATGATATTATCGATAAATTAGCCAGTACCAGTTCTTTGTTGAAAAGAGAATTAGTGTTTTAGTTAAGTAAACAATAAGTTCATCTCTTTTTTTAATAAATTTATTATAAAAAAAAATAGTTTTCGTTCAATTCGCACAGGTAAAGTATGTCACTAAATTAAATATGTACTCATGACCCTCGTATGCACATAGTTAAAATTTTACGTATACGGGCTATTAGGCGTGACGTCACAGACGCGACTGTACTGAAGCTAAACATACAGTGTTGCCAGTTGTGATACTAGAGTACCAAATTGATACTGTATTTTTTTTACTAGATATTTATATTTACTTGTAAACAAATAATAATTTATATTCTCAGCCAAATACACATTATGTGAATGTTAATATATTTTATTTTGTTTTGGTACGACCTATCCACTCCTGTCGTTTGCAACATTCTGGCAATGCTGTAAACATATTTTTGACGTACACAGAAAGTGAGGTTAGAACAGATTAAATTACAGAAATGTTGACTACAATTGTTAAAACCATTACGAAACGACACACATTTTTCATAGCAACTATTTCCTTAGAAACAATCTCCCTACACGTCCAGGATTCAAGAAATAAACTTTTATTTGTTTAGCTTCAAAGGTACAGTCACGTACCTTGCTGACGTCACACGAATAGCACGTATTCTAAAGGCGTTTCTATTAATACGAGTTCAGTGACAGTACCCCATCCGCCCATGCCTTGTGGCGAAATTACATACGACCCAGATCATGTTTGCCTTAATAATTACTATCTTTCTGTCTCCTACAGGAACCGCTGCTTCGACCGGGAAAAAGACACCTTCAGTCACCACTCACAACCACAGAACAGAGAGACACAACAGTCCACTCAGTCCACTGGTGCAACACAAATATGGCCGGCCACAAGAAGCTGTAGCACATGGTCCAAGTGTAGCACAGGCTGTAATTGGAACGCAGCTGAGTTAGAATAAATATCGAAATACGTAATATATGTAATAAGTAATAAGTATTACTCACATATTACTGGTATGTGATCGACTACATTTGTTTGCTTATCTATATAACTAGTTGCCTAATCCGGCCCCTAGCTAAGGCTGTCCGGGAGTGAACGGGCAAGCCGGCCATTTGAGACTTTCATTGGGGACTTCACATTTGGTGAGTGATCATCATTGGATTGTCTCAGAAGCCAGGACTACAGTCACTAAATAGACATTCTATTTAGTAACTGTAGCCAGGACCATTTAGAAACAAGGACCACCAGTTTTCAGCAAGTATAAAGTAAGAAGGTTGCCTCCTAATTTTGCATTGGAGTAATCGTTAAAAAATTGGATTTGCAACCATATTAAAACCAAGTTAAAAAACTACAATTCCATAAAATAAATACTGATAAAATATTTTTTATTCTTTTCGATACTGTCAAAATTTACGGGTTTTTTCTCGTGTAAGGCAGTTTTAACAACTATTTGGCATTTCTCAATACGAAACGTCAGATTATTTTTAACAGATTTATTAAAACAAGTGTAAGCCTTGTTGAGTGTAACTCGAAGAATAAAATGTTGTATTCAACTCGTTTGAGTGTAAATCGGTTCATTTATTCCACCTCGTGGATGATAAACCACTCGTAACACTCGTGGTTTAATAATAATCCACTCGGTGAAATAAAGTGTCCGATTTATACTCAAACTCGTCGAATAAATAACTATTATTAAGGGTAAAATAAATAAAATATATACATAGATAACAAATATAAATTTATTTTGCTATAACAATATTTTAATTTACAATTTGTTTCATTTTTTTTGCACCTTTTAATCGAACATCAATAATAGGGGTGCTTTTCTCTTTCTCTGTTTTTCTTCACTTCTCTTTAAATTTAAAAATTTTATGCGTATGAATATACGGTTTCGCAAGAAAGCTTTTAGTAGATCATTTGGAATTTCTCCCTTTGTTTTAATTTCCAAATAATTGGTGGTTCTTTTTACCATATATTTATAATCTCAAAAAATGGATTTATGAAACTTGATAAAATATTTTTCCAATGTTTCAATTTGGGTTTTCCAGTCATTTGATGGTTCCATAAAACCACCAAATAAAAGACTTTGGATCCATGTTGGCAGACTATAGCTGCGCAGTGACGCCGACTTATAAGAAAAATCCCCTAAATGAGTGTATTTGTCTACAAATTTTTTGCTAAATATCCTAGTATTTACTAGGATGTATGTATTTACATTAAACCATTTCGTTCAACTATTTTGGACTTGGAGGATGTTGAAGAGCTTACTGCTGGAGCTAGTGGTGCTGAAGTCATCACGGATTTCTGTCTGGGTTGGTTTTGGTTGTTTCTCATCAGCGAGTGTTTGCACTTTTGCCTGTTTTAAGGCTTGTGCATATACAAATTCTTCAGATTCACACTCGGAAGGATTTTCAACATTGCCATGAGTCTGGACAATGCCCGGATTTTTCCCCAAAAGTAACATACGTACTCGGTAAAGGGCGTTTAAAGGGGAGGGATGGTCATGAAGACCACCTCGTGTGCCAATCTAAAAAAAAAGCAATATTATTCACTGACTATTTACATATACAGCTGCAAACCTGACTAAAACAATTCTCCAAACAGTCTTGGTTTAACCTGTGTGTTAAAATATAACTCACTCCAAGTTTTTCTTTCGTGTCAGCAAATAAGGCCTTTAATGACTTAATTGACATAATTATCCTTTTTTGAAAAACTGGTAGAATTTTCTTCCCACTGCATAACATGCCAACAATTGTTGCGTCCATTTTATTTAAAGTTTCGTCCTGCCTTTCTTGATGAACTCCATATGGTCTTTTAGTTGGTATTTGCGTTGAAGGAGTGTAGCTGTTCATGATATTAAACCAAGCATTTACCAAGGATATAAATTCTCCTACATTTTTGGCTACTTTTTTGTCCGTCCCAGGTAAATATTGAAGTATAGCTGTGGTCATTGTACTTGAAAATACTTCTGCAGCTAACCTGACGTTTTGCCGGTGTGTCCCTTCACAAATTAAATGGTCCCTAGTAAGTTTGTGACATGAACTTATTTCACTAGATGTATTTTGTAATAACTCTTCCACGGGCCTCTTGTTAATACAGTCTCCAGATTTGGTTGTAAAACCCCTGTCGATAAACCAATTTCTTAAGAGTTTTAACAAATGAGGTGCATCAGCAAACATGTAAACATTTTCTTTCGTAACTGGAATAGGAAAAAATGTCTGTTCCTCCAAAGGCCCTGGTTTCCTCCACAACATTCACACACCCACGCAACATCATTATAATTAATTTTATCAAGGGTCGTAATTATTTGATTTAATAAATCTCTGGTCATTTGTTGGTCAAAGCCAATGTAAATTGTCTGCTTCCAACTATCAAATAATCCTCTAGCCATCACGACCTGCATTTGGGCATGTGGACCAACAACTTCATCAAATTTTTGATGATATTCTAGTAATGATGAGACCTGCAATCTTTTACAGCTCTTCTCTTCTCTTCTTTTTCTGCGTTCAGCACTATTTTTTGAAACTTTTGTGGGTAATGTTGATGGATGTAGATACATTGATAGAATTGCTATAAACAATAGATTCTGTAAAATTACCATTCACTATTACTTAATGTTTTATATGAAAATATCGAGTTTCAAGGTTTTTGGAGATCTACCTTGCACATGAGCCTGCATGTAGTCTTAGAAATCGTTTGGTGTACAATGTTTGCTGCAGACTCTTTTCTTCTCTGGAGAAAACTTATCCTTTCTATAACAACGTCTCACCCATTCTTAAACCAGGATCTTTGGGAAAACAGTGGAAACTTAAGCTCTCCCCCATCTCCTTGGCATGTTTGGCGTTGCTTTTGCATACCGCAATACTACCGGTATACCCGCCACCCGTCATCTACAACAAATATTGACATAAGAAAACAAAAACAGGTTTTGGGCCCTAATCTAAGAATTAACATATTATTTTATTGTTTTATTGTGTTCATTTCATTTTTTTTTATGAATTATTGCTTTGGGAGCTCTTTTATTCTCTGCAAACATTAAAACAAATCTATTCAAGCAAAATTAGTTTTTTCACAATGACCACATTTGTATGTATTATTTTTTGCACGACTTGTACCACACTATGACAAACAAAAACACAAATATTTTTGTAAAAATTAGTAAAAATATGAATAATTGTAAGAAATTGGCGTTTTTGGTGATTAAGATAAAATAACTTTTGTACTAATTTCCAAAATTCAGTGGTGGCTCTAATTTTTGGTATAGCCGCGGGGCTTGCCGTTCAAACGAATTGACAAAAATGTTCGTTGAAGATTTTGAAGAGAATAAATCTTCTGTAATTATAAAATTTCTAAATACAAAAATAAAAATTCCACGAGGGTTTGTTGTTACAAACTCACAAAACACAGATAACATTGGATTATAATATGCAGAACTTTGCCCTAAGCATACAGCGCATAAACTTTTCTTTAATTCTTGCAAGGGAGCTTACTTGTCACAAAGTTAGTGTTAATTAGGTGCAAAATGAAATTGTTAAATATACCAGATTTTCCTACTAATGTTAGTTGTAATAATTGTCAAACAGTGAATTTTACTTTTAAAGTAGATAAATAATAATATATGTTTCATTCTTGAGTTAAATTAAAGCATTATATTTATTAATACAAAAATATTTTAGAATGGGAATGTCTTAGTAACGGGAGCTTATTTCTTTCCCTAGCGAGAAAATTTTGACTTGTGTCACAGTTTTGACATAGAAAAAGTTGATTTCCACTTCATGTCTTGCAAAAATAAATATTATAACAAAATACTATTTTTTAATAATGAAAGATAAGAAAAATATTTGAAAATCTGAATTACACACACAACCTATTTACTTTGATCTCTTAGGCCATTTAAACACGAGTAAACAAAGTGACAATCATCGTCCATGTACTTCTTTTTACTTACAAATTCCAGTTATAAATTGGTTTATACTAGATTATAAAACGGAATTGTGGTACTGATAATAAACTGCTGTTGAGTAAATAATTATTCTGATGTGTTTCGTGACCATCAAAATATAATAATATAAACAAATTTACGATTCAAATAACACGTAAATGATTTTAAAATAGTCATTTTTATTAATTTTAACAACTCAAAAGCAGAGGAAACTTTACTTATATTTATAAATTTATAATTATGATAATAATTTTCTAAACGTGTAGAACAAAATAGACAGCAGTAGGTTGTATGTACATACATACATTAGATGTGCGTATAGTGTGGCTTTCACAGTAAGTACTTGAACTGTCGTAAATATTAATCCGAGTTAAGGCTAATTTGGTGTTTATAAATGATCTAATAAGAGCAGAGAACACCAAATGCAGCACTCAAAAAAACTCTTATGACCTTTTCTGCCGCACTGAAGGTGCACTAGTTAGACCTTTTTTTCTAGTTATAAACACCCAATTGTTTTTATTGTTAACAGTTATTTGAGTATTCGTCTTAAAATTTAAGTTAATTCAAATCGGGTAGAAGCTTTTGCGCATGATCAACAATTGTAGATCAATGCCATTGCCACAAAATAACAACAAAGTAATAATATTCGATTTATACCCAATTGTTTTTAAACTTTCGTCATTCTTGACGTCAGTTGATGTGAAGAAAGAAAAAATATTTAAGAAATATAAAACATAATAATAATTTATTTACTTATAAAAATAACTTAAAATTATATACATCAATCTATATTTACATAAAAAATTTAAGAACAATTATCTATAGGAGAATTAAAATGAAGAAATCAGTCATTTAATCTAAAATGTAGATTGTAATGGCTTCATATTCGCTACAGAACTCATTCTTCGCACTTTTTCACCTGCTAATTTTCTTTCAATGTCTTCTAAACTTTGTCCTTTAGTTTCTGGTACCCAGAAAATTGTAAAAACAAGTCCTAGAACACACACCGCGCAAAACAGCCAGAAAGTACCATGTGCACCAATAATGTCTTTAAATATTGGAAACGTCGTTGTTACAACGAAGGTACAAGTCCAGTTGAACCCTGTGGCTATAGACGCTGCAGGTCCTCGAATTTTTGCAGGCAAAATTTCACCCATCATTAACCAGGGAATTGGTCCAAAACCGAAAGAAAATCCTAAGACGTAAATGACGAAACTTGTAAGTGGTATCCAACTGTATGGCGCAATGTCAATATCTGGCACAGTCATTAAATAGAAGTAAGCACCCAATGCTGCTAAAGTTATGATCATGGTAACACTGGAGATGTACAAAAGGACTTTTCTTCCGAGTCTGTCGATGAGAATAGTTGCGATGAATGTAGATGCAAAATTAACGGCTCCAACAATTATGGTTTGGATGCTGGAATCGATGTCTGAACCGGTATCTTCAAAAATTTGGGTCGTGTAGAAAATAACAGCGTTGATTCCACTAAACTGTTGGTAGAACATCAATCCAAGAACAATGAGTAAAGATTTTACGTAAGGTTTGGTAAACAAGTCTTTGAGTTTGTCGGATTTCTCGTCAGAAACTTTTTGAGACTGAAGCAACTCTTCAAACTCCTTGTCAATGGTGTCTCGATTATTTTTTCCTCGCAACCATTCTAATGCCTTGCGTGACTGGTCAGTTTTATTCTTCGAAATATACCATCTAGGCGTTTCTGGTATGAACCAAATTACAAAAAGGAAAGGCACTGCTAATAAGGCTCCGATTCCAGCAATTCCTTTCCATTGTAAAACGATTCCCATCGAAAAACATAATAAAATTCCAATATTCCCGAAAGCTGTGGGCAACAAGCCTAAAGTGCCACGTACTTCAGGTTGAAGTGTTTCTCCCAAATAAACTGGAAGTGTCAAAGAAGCTATTCCTACACCGCAGCCGGAGATACTTCTACTGATGTATAAGTACCAGTATTCTTGAGCAAAATAATTTATTATCCAACTAACTAGGAATAAAACGTTGGTCAACAAAAGAGTCCATTTTCTTCCTAAACCTTCAATTAAGGGCCCTCCTAACAGCCCGCCAAAGAGAGCAGCTAATGGCATCAGTCCTGAGATCCATGAAAACTGTAACAAGGACGAGATATAAGCTAAAATGTCAACAAAAAAATGTTTTAAACGAACGTAAAACAAAACCTACCTGTAAGTCTGTAATTTGGAGATCCGCTTTTAGAGAAATACCAGCTGGCGAAGTATAACCGGAGACGTATCCAATCACCATGGACACCCATGAGACGGCAACTGCTGCAACAACCTAGAATAAAAACATGATTTAATTATAACTTCCCAAATATGTCTCAAGTTTAAGTATAAAACCTGTGAGTAAGTACATTTAGCTTTCGGTTCTGATTCCGGAATTGTAAATGTCACATGTGTATCTGCACGTATTAAAACTTTCATTGTAAAGAATCATATACTAATAGGATACCCGATAAAATCGAAATAAAATCAATTGTAGCACTTGAACAAACTTAATCAATGGTATTGGCAGACATTGTATTTATATGTCCCATTAACCCCCTCCGTTAGCAACAATAAAAATACGTTTTTGTTGAACGTGACATGATTTGTTTTGATCCGTAATGGATTTTAATTAATTGGATTTAAGTCATAATGCGTCATAATAGTCACAAAAAAATTAATTAAAAATCGAGTACGATAGCGGTTTTGAATAATCTTATTATTAGAACCAAACTTTGCCTCTTAAAAATAAAAATCTCACCACAAATAAGTATTGTTTTTTTAAATATTGAGTACCTAAATTGTTTCTATATTGGAACTACAAGAGGGCCTGGGTGGGCCATGGCCACCAAATACCATATCATATTAAAATTTATTAAAACAATTAAATTTACTGTAAAAATAATTAAATAATAATATTGATATCGCAACAGCAAACGTTTTTGGGATGTCCCTTACACATTGTTGAAATCCTATCTTATTGTAACATAATTTTTTTTCTAGTTTTATTGTTCGTAATTCGTAATTCTAATAATACATATTATTTTTTAAGCCATTTTTTTAAAACATCACTTTTTTAAAGACACTGCTGATTTACAAAATATGGTGTTTTTTTTAATTTCGCCCCATCCTGACCCACCCAAATATGAAGGACTCTATAGTTCCGTGTCTGCTTAAGTAGTGAAGATACCTTTATTTTTTTAAGTTAATTTTGAGATTTTAAAGTAAAATTGCATACAGAAATGAAACACTTACTTGACGATATAGCGCTCCGTTTTCGATCGACTTGCCATTATTTGGTCTAGAGAGAGACTCATTGGAATTTTCAAATTCCTGTTCTGTTGCATTTATTGTCATGTCGAAATTCTTAGGTTGCAGGGGTTCAATTTCAGGTACCGCTCTTCTTAAGTTCCCAAAATAAATTTGTTGATTGAGTGTAGAACTGGATTGTAATTCCGACAAATTTGTTGAAGTTGTACAGGCCGAGATAGTTGGACTGTCTGTTGTTGGAAGCAACTGATGACCACCGTTCTGGAAAAGCAAATATATAAAATTTCAGTTTTTGATAACATCTGACCTATGATGACCTGTGGTCATCCTTCTCGGTTCTATCATGTCAAATCCAGAACCAATTAAGATCAGAGCAAAATCCTACATTTCCAACAAATTAAAACATGTTTTTTTACAATGAAAAATATGTAATCTCTGGTATTCCGTAATGAAATTAGTCGGTTTTAATTAAGAAAATATGTGCCAACAAGCAATTGTGGCGACTTTATCCGGTAATTAACACGACAGAGAACAAATCTCTTAATTTCGACACTACTAAATTTTATATATTTTATTTATTTTATATATTTTATATATTTTACATATATGTCCTATCGAAACAGTTCTGTCCCGCTCAACAATTCTTGGTTGCCTATCTTACTGACTGACACTCAAATTCCTAATTGTTTAAATTTGAAGTTGGCACAACATGTCAATCAATGAAATCACTTATAACAACTCTTCAAACAATGCGAAAATTAAATAAAAAAATATACTAAATTAAATTTAATAAAAATATGTTTCCTACGTTTGAACTCTTTTTTTTTATTAATTGTAGATTCAATTATTTGCACTCTTTATTAAAATTTTAAAATAAAAAACATATTTGGCGCAATTTTTAAACAAACAAATCAACCTGGCAATAATTTTGTTGTTGTTTTAATTGAAAACCTTGATGCAACATAATTATTTTAACTTACCGGAGACATTGAAAAATAAGAAGAATGCTAATTTGAGTTTAAATCATATATAACAATAGGTACATGGGCGTGCCCAATTGTTTTTAGTAGAGGGGTGATCATTATTTTAAACCGATTTGCAAATTTTCATCAAAACATTCGCGTTGAAACTCTGTCTCCTTAAGCAGGTGGTAGATTATTTTTTTAATTAATTTCAAGTGTAAACAGTGAACTTAACCTAGTCGTCTTAAAACTCCGTTAATTGTTTTACCGATAATTATAGTTTCAGGGTTAAGGCCAAAGCATTAAATTTATTTTCGGAGTTTCAAACTAGGTGCTTGAAGGCGCGAATTCGAATCGACCAAAGAATATTCCAGAACGCACGTAAAGGAACATACACCGCTCCACTTTGTTGATTTTTAAACTTTCGACGTTCACCAATTGCGGTTTTATATAGTAAATAATTTGCCAAAAAAATTTTGCCAAAATTATTTATAGTTTAATTCATAAAGTGTTGTTTGACAGCTTTTTATGCAGTTTAATTGTACAAACTCACCGCTAGGTGAACGCGGCAAAATATCAAAGTCATTTATTAAAAAATAAAAACTTACCCATCTTGGCCATTTTTGCTTCACTCGGGCCCAGAAGTGCGGGGGTTGATCCAGGTCTGGAAGTGTTAAACCTCTAGAATAGGGACCACAGTAATCAATGTCTTTTGGCATTTTTTTCACTTTATGACTAATTTACATGCAAAAAATTTTCGAGAAATTTGCCGCGAGATTCAAGAGAGATTCTTAAATATTCGAGTAAAACACGGTTGCTTGATGCTTGGTGCATCGAATCAAATACATTATATACAGTATAGGTAACTGAAGTGGGGGCAAGAGAAGGATAGCGCAACTCTTACGTTTTTTAAGCAATGTGCATTTTGTTATACTACAAATACCATAGACAAAAAATGTGTTAGATTATATTTAACATATTTAAAATACATCGATTTGAACTTTTCTTAAATCAAGTTAAAAAATAAAAATTGGACGTTGATGATTAAAAATATAGTAAGGGTAAAAGCCACGTGAGGCTGCACACGTTTCATCTTTCTGCCTCCTAAATGAAACAGAATATTCAAGTGAAATCTTGTCAAGAACTCCGTATTTAAAAATCAAATTATGAAAATTTATTTAACGCAAAATGCATACATTTCTATGTCTGGAAATTTTATATTTTAAGCTTTAGTCAATTTTGGTATTTAAATGAACGCTTCTACATAAAATATTATTAAGTTTTAGCCGGTCGCTATAGTGGAATTTTCCATTGCCACCGTTGTATTGATCAAGAACTATTAAGTTCTTGTCGCGGCATGTACAGCTTGATTTTAAATTCAATCGTTGAAAAAATATCTAATGAAAGAATTTTCCATGCAAATTTTCCATATAATAACATTTTACTATTCAATACTTACACTTCGTCCGTTTTATTGCTCTGTGGCTCAATCACTCATAAACAAGAATGTATTAATAAAAGACCACTTAAAAAACTCATTACCTTATTTTCATAGTAGATGAAACACAGTAAATAAAATAAATAGGTACTCTCAGAAACTTTTACGTGATTTTTATTACTTATCGATCATTGATGTATGATAAGATAAAAAATCTGTTAACATTATTAGTCTTTTAAGCCAATATGTCACATGTTTTATAGCTACCTAAGCTATGTATGTAATTGCGTGAAAAAACAGAACGACCTTCTAGAAATAAATCTCGGGTTTTTTAATGACTAAAGTCAATTCCTTTCAAAAAATGCATCAACTAGATTATTTTGCAAGTTTGTGTGGTATTACGAAATATCTGACTTTAGTAAAAAATGTGTTTTTCTTGTGTAATTTCGTCAGACACGACGCGACGTCACTATCGCGGAATTTACTGGAGGTGTGTTTCGAGCCAACCAATCAGAAAGCGCCTTGTGGACGAGCCTCCAAACGTCACGTAGCATGTTCAAAGTCAATTGCCCCGTGACTTGAATAATTTTATAAATCAACAAGTTAAACTTAAGCCAATTGACTCTTTATTAATATTTTACGTCAAATAACAATTTATATATCGACCATAAACCCCTTGCACCTTAACCTTGTCTTTAACAACCAATGATCAGACATTGGTACAAATTACTTAATTCAATATGTGTTAAGTCTTGACTACGTCAAGACACACCTCCTTGATTGTTTACTTGACCTGTGTAATGTTATGATACTTATGATATTGTGAAAGAGCTCGTTTTGGTTTATTTTGCATTAATGCATATTTCATATGCATTTGCCAACTTGCTCCGACCGTTGACTGCTATACCTATTATACGTACCTATTATTAGCATTTACTACACTAAAATCCAGTGGCGTACTCATTTTATTTCTGTCTATTTTTGCAAATACGTTAAATAATCGTGTCAATCACTTCCAATTTTTAAATTCAACATTTGTTTACAATTTTATAAAATACACGTTCACAAAGTGCAATGTAAAACTGTACCTACTTACTAGTATTTAAAACATATAACCTTCAAAATTATAATTACCTATAAAAAAAATATAAAGATAAATTACATTTGTATGTATAATGTGATGTATTAATTATATGTAGTCTTTTGAGTTATTGACAAAATTATGTACACTCTTTTTTTCAAAATTATCGTTTTTGTTGTTTTTTGTTTATATATATATTTTTTTTTCAGCAGTACATTTTATTAAAACCAAAGAAGAATAAATTTGTCAACACTAATAAACGAAAAACTCCATACAAACTAACAAAACAAACGTCGGTAGTCTGCCCCTAGAATTCGATTTCAAATTTGCCCCTTAGTTTTGTTCTCACCGACAACCAGAAATACATCTCTTGGCTTTTTACCTAGATGAGGTCTAAGGGCTGTTGGGTTATAAAAAGCAATAAATCATTTCGCGGTTCTACTCAATCAAAATAAAACTGTTAGGAAAACACAGTTTCTATTTCAAAACAAAAAATTATGTTTATGGAAAACTATTATTAAAAAACAAAATTGCCCTATCCTAGGATTTTTTCATAAATATCCCGTTAAAAAATATAAAATTCTATATTTTATTTATTTTGACATTATTATTATTATAGAAGTAGTTAGAACACGTAAAAATAATATAGGTTTGTCCTTTGAACAATTGTTCAAAAACGCTTCTTTACCAGAGATGAATGGCGACAAAATTTGAAATTTTGTTCCTATATCTTTTCTTAACATCTCTTAAACGGAGAAGGCTACGGACTCTACGAGCTCCAAATTTTGCGAGCACACTAGATAAGTGAGGACTATTATTTTGTACGGATTTCGGCGCAATTGTTATACCGTGCGATCAAATAAAAAATAAATTAGAGTAGGCGTCGATTAAATGCTATAGTTGGCAACAGATTGACTGGGAATCAGGGCTGGAATTTTTCTACACAAACTGAATGTGAAAATGACCATCAACTGTTTTCCTCTTGTACAGCAATAAAAAAATTCTGCTCTAAAGTGAACATTATTTCACTCAAAAGGAATAAAACGCGAACTTGTCAAAGTTTCCGCTGACATTTGATGTCAAAAATCAGGATTGCCATCTGAAGGACTTTAATCACCGCCTACTCTAATTTTTTTTTTGATCGCACGGTGTTAGTGTCATGTTTTGCTGCTCACACTGATTTTTTTGTGTTACGCCACTGATTAATTTTAAATTTTTTCGTGAAACAAAATAATAGTCATCACTCATTTAATGTGCTTGCAAAATTTGGAGGTCGCAGATCTCTCCGTTTAGAAATTAAGAAAAGATGGAAACAAATTTCAAATTTTGCCGCCATTTATTTCTGGTAAGGAAGCGTTTTTGAACAACTGTTCATGAGACAAACCTATATTTTTTTTGCTAATTAAAACGGAACCATTCTGTATATTATGAGTACATGATCTGGTTAAAAATTTTCAAGTAAGAAGAAAAATAGTTGTTGAAATGTAACGCTTCAGTTCTATCACTAGCAACTGTTTGTAACAAACAAAAATAAGTTTTTGTGAGAGTTGTACTTTATTCGCTTTTTTGTTTCTCGTTCAAAACAGGAAATGTGTATTTTAATCTAACGTTTTTATAAATTCATATGACATGACGTTGCATAATTTCTGCTCAAAGATCAAATAAAATAATGACCTTTCAGAAAAATTTACATCCATTTTTTTTCTAGTTATAATGATTTGTTATTATTTGATTATGTAATATGAGTCTCAAGTATTTTCCATAAACCGGCGCTGCTGAAAGTGAATTGGTTTTGCATATAGCGCCGTGATGGGTGTGAACTGACGTCAGAGACGAGCCCACCTAAGTTTGCTACAAGATACGAGAATATTTTTAGAAGTAGTAGTTTTTAGAACTAATAGTAATAAACTATTACAAAAATTTGTTCAATTTTATCACCATAACGGATGTTCTTCGGATTAGTAAACAATAGAGATTTATCATAAAGATTATCAAAAAATTTTAATTGTGGAAGTTATTGATAAACGTCATGGGATGAAGATAAGCTTCGTATTGAATGAATTTTTTTAAATAGAATAACCGGAGGACACATAACTAAGATTAGATGTGAAACGGCCAAAACCAATTCACATTACCTCTCTGTTATTATACTCATATAAAAATGATTTAACAAAATTAAACTCCGTGATCTGTTTATAAATCTGAAAACTTTCGTGGTTTTTTCATTAGTATAATATGTACTACATACAGGTCATTCAAAAAGTGCGCACTAACCCAATACCTTTTATTGTTATTGTAATTGTTAAAAACAAGTTATTCTCTCAGAAAAAATACTGATTTAGACATTTTCATAATTAAATAAAGTTTTTATAACAAACAGAAATACACTTGATATGTTCAAAAACAAAATATTTTTTTATTTGTACATGGACCGTTGTCATAACACAATGGGTCAATGGGCTCATATACCATGGCCCATTGATTTCTGACTAGACTTGTTTATTGTTGCAAGTGGGAAAATAAAAATCAAAAATTTTTTAAATTCACTCCTCGTGACATTGTGACGTAATAATAGACTCTTATTATTGGTCAAGTATCTGTCATGACTAAATTCTCAGAATACCAAATTTATTATTGTAAAAATATTACTAATTTAATAAGAGTACTTGATTTTGTACATTAAATAGCGGAATTAATTTATGTTTAAACGATAACAGATACATATACATATTTCTATATAAGCATTTTTCTACTGCCTTTAGAAAAATGCTTATATAGAAATATGTGTGCGCCAGAACTCGCGCCCCAGAGAAAATTTTCAAGGAATATAAGATACCCGGAACATGGAAAACATGTTTAAAAATTTTTGACATTTATTTTTTGACATTTGACATTTTTTTTTTATATCTATTTAAGGATACTGACGATCTTGTATATGTTTTTTTTACAATTATTTAGTAAAGGTAGAAAAATTTTGCCAATAAAAGCTACAAATAACATTGAATAGAGTTACAATTTAGGATACAGCTTCCTTGTTTTCTCTTTTAATAGCCTATAGCAAAAAAACTTGGAAAATTATTTTTCCAACAGAAATAGAGTCAAAGTGCAAACTTTAAACACTCATAACTTCAAAATTTTTATAGATAAAATTTTTGTAACATTTTTTCCATGTTCCTGGTATATAACCTTATATGGCATTTGCCTCTGGGGCGCGAGTTCTGGCGCATCCTGTATGTATCTGCTATCGTTAAAACATCAATTTATTCCGCTATTTAATGTACAAAATCAAGAACTCTCAT